TAAATGGTACAAAAAGCTTTGTACATTCTGCATATGCCAAAAAATTATTGATATAGAGTGTATCTAAAAGCACATAACTAACACAAGTTAAAAAAACTTCAACATCAGAATAATATTTTTATTTATAAAATAAGTAGATAAATTATAAGTTTATTTAATATTAAATATATTCTTTGAACACCTTGTATATACCAGTCCAAATTTCTATACAGCTAGTTTAAGATACACGCTATATCAATATATTGAGGGCCTATGCAATATGTACAATGCCTTTTGTACCATTTAGGACCAAATGTATGACTATAAATGCATATTTTTCGAAAAAAACTCGTATTTTCCTTAAAACAAAAAATTTTAAAAAACCCACCAAATTGTTTTTTTTTCCAATTTCAATACCTATTTCAATACATTAGTCGTACATAGTTAAAATTTCGATTAATTGCATAAAACCATTATATTAGCAAGTTTAATAGGTTAAGTACAAAGAGGAGCATTTATTGTTTACAATCCCGCAATTTTGAGGATCCCGCGGGATTGATTGCTTTAATCCCGCGGATTTGCGGGATTGAGATTTTGGTTTGGTTTGGTTTGGGGGATTGCATTCCCTATTTCTGACTGAACATTGCCCTAAGAGATTATTATATATCTTTTTTTATAATTTCGGAGATATAGATAAATAAATGAAAGAAATATATTTTCAGCCATTTTTAAAAAAAGTATGCGTCTTGATATCAAAACTATGGTAGGTACTTACTATAGTTGGTCTGTAAATACTTTATTTTAAGTATCGTAATATTAAATCATACAGGGTGTTCAAAATTCTACGCCAAACTTTTTAAAATATAAAATAATTCTCCTTTTCTAACAAGTTGAGTTCCATTTGAGCTTAGTTGATAAAAACTATCGATACTGGTGCTCTGAAGGCCTGCATTTATACCGGGTGCGTCTCAAAAGTGGCTCATCCCTATAAGTTTTTTATTTTTTCAGATAAAAAACGAGATTTGGTATGTTAGTATATGACATAAATTAGGATTGATTGACGTTTTGAATTGTTTTCAGTCACTTCCTGTTTCACCGGAAATTACTACAACTTTTGACTTTTAAATGGCACCCTCCCTATTTTTTTTACTTTAGAAAATGACTTTCTGAATCGAATGACATATCATATGTCAACTTTTGACATATTCACTCAAAAACAATTTGTATTTTAAATTTCAATCTAGAGTGCCATGGCTGTGATAAAAACACTAAACACTTAAAAAATGGCTATATCGTATTTTTAACCATATCTCAATTTTTTCATATGGAACGAGGGTGGCTCATTAGCATATTAGGAAAAAGCATTTTTTTACGAATAATTTGATACCACACACTTGGTATTTCAAGTCAAATTGTCGTTATGAACCCCATATTATAATTTCAATTAAACCATATGCAAAAATGTCAAAAGTTGACATATGATATGTCATTCTATTCAGAGTGTCATTTTCTATCGAATAAAGTAAAAAAAAATCGATGATGCCATTTAAAAATCAAGAGTTGTAGTCATAGGAACAAGACCGGAAACAATTGAATATGTCAATCAATCCTAATTTATGTAATATGCTAACATACCAAATCTCGTTTTTTTAGAGTCACTTTCGAGATGCACCCGGTATAAAAATTCGTGGGTACTCAGAAACTAACAAAGATGGCCAGCTAACCAGTGAATAAGCGGTGCTGGGTGCCAGTACTTATTTATACAATATTGTCAAAAAAAACAGCGTCAACGTCGGCTATGAGACGATTTCTATAATTTTATATGTAAAATGGATTTTTTTCGATCATACAATACTAACATAATGTATTTAAAGATAGTGCTGTTCCAATTTGAACTGAAACAGCAAGTATTATTTAAAATTGTTGTAACTTTATAATACTTATACAAGCTATTTTATAATAATAATACCACCAATTCCATATACCACCATAATAATAAATACCACCAAGAGTGAGAGAAAAAAAAATAATAATGACAAAAGTTGTAACCTCCGATCACTGATCGTTGTTTTCTTTCAAAAATTAAAATACGTAAATAATTCTACCAGAGGCGACAATGAATAGCCATCGATTTCTCAATTCAGCTCGCCACTGGCAAAATACAAATTAAGTTTATGATTTTCTCCGGGCTAATTCAATCCCTGCCCCACTAAACTCCTTCAATCCAAACTCATTGGCCCGACTGCTAATAACCCGGCTAGCCGAGGCCGAAATTAAACTTCCGCTCATTTGACTCCCAACTTCCCTGCAAACTCCGGATAAGTGCCGTAATTTCCTTTATTTTCCTTTCAGGCCAAAACCAAGCAAATATACGAGTCTCGGACGTTGCGATATATATTGTAGTTTAGCTAGGGTATTTTTTGCATCTTTTCTCGAAAATAAAACGACAAAAGAGACCATAAAGACAAAATAAAAGTAGATGAAGTGTACAGTAATGTTACAAATAGTTTTTTAAATGCATTTTCCAGCATTTTAGTATTCTAGTAAAGAATATTATTATGTTGTTAATTACTATCTCCCAGACCTCACTAGGAGATCTAGTATAACAGTGTTTAGTCATTTTTATGTTTCATGCTTCTTTAAAATACGTATAGCCGGAGAGCTGGCGACATATTTAGAGAACATATTTTAGGCAAGTTAAAATAACAAAAAAAATAAAGTTTATTAACTGGTGAACCCAGAATCCTAAGTCGGGCTGGGGGTTTGCGGGTATTTTGCTACTGCGCAACCCCTTATATTTGCAAAAAAATAAATCCAAAAAATATCTTTTAGGCAACTTGAAATTTGTTTATTCTTAAATTTTAGCATCTATTTAATCCAGGAACAAGTATGCCAGACTTTTTTTTCGGGTTTAAAGTGTAACCGGACCATCCCAAATATGTTGAATTATTATACATCGAAAATATACTTTAGGCATTCTAAAATTTTTACAGCGTGTTTATTAGATAATATTAAAAAATATTTGTTAATTGCCAGACGAATTCAACGGTTTTTAATACTTGCCTGACGCGAATAGAGATTTTAAATGAGCGCGACAAAAAAGTCTTATGAGTATTTATAAGCGCGAGAAAGATAGTTTATTGAGACTCGTCGGCAGCAAACTCGGCTGACGTAACAGTATTTTACACTGTTTATTTTTTACTTTTACACTGTTTATATGCTATCATCATCTGTTTCATCAAAGTCGAGTTTTAAAAAAAAACAATATTTTTTTATTAATTGTTTAAGTCCCGAAACATGTCGCCCCCCTGCTTTTTTTGAAGCATTTAAATTTAAATAAACATCTTAAAGATTGTGAGTTATTTGTCCCCTTACCCGCCTTCAGAGGTTTTACTTTGATAATTAATTATAACATTTAAAAATCACATGTAATATTATATTATATGTAATATTCATTCTATTCATAATCGCTGTCATTTTATATGTAAAATTATATAGGAAATGTGAAGGGTTGTCAGTTTCAAGAAACTGGACGCCGTTTTTTCTCGATCATCCGGTATATATGTATATAATAATAATATAATAGCACCCGTATACCGGGTGCGTCTCAAAAGTGGCTCACCCCTATAACTTTTTTATTTTTCCAGATAAGAAACCAGATTTGGTATGTTAGTAAATGACATAAATTAGGATTGATTGACGAATTCAATTGTTTTTGGTCTTTTGATTTTTAAATGGCACCCTCGGTATTTTTTTTACTTTATTCGATAGAAAATGACATTCTGAATAGAATGACATATCATATGTCAACTTTTGACATTCTCGCTTAATCGAAAATCGTATTTTAAAATTCAATCTACAGTGCCATGCGTTATGTTAAAAACAACAATTCTTAATCAAGGAGCCTTGGAAAAATAGATTTGGTTGTCTAATGTTTTAGTGTCTTCTCCTGGCCAGTTAGAAAATGCTCAAATCGTATTTTTAATCATATCTCAATTTTTTCAAATGGACGAAGGTGGCTCATTAGCATATTTGGAAAAAGCATTTTTTTACGAATAATTTGATACCACACACTTGGTATTTCGAGTCAAATTTTCGTTACGAACCGCAAGTTATAATTTCAAATAAATAACCATAGGTATGTGAAAATGTCAAAAGTTAACATATGATATGTCATTCTCTTCAGAATGTTATTTTCTATCGAATAAGGTAAAAAAATACCGAGGGTTCCATCTAAAAATTTGTAATGAAAGTTGTAGTCATTTCCTGTAAAACAGGAAGTGACCGAAAACAATTGAATACGTCAATCAATCCTAATTTATGTTATATACTAACATACCAAATTTCGTTTATTTAACTGAAAAAGTAAAAAAGTGATAGGGGTGAGCCACTTTTGAGGTGCACCCGGTATAACGTTTGACGCCTTGGGAGTAGCAAGGAAAAGCTTGCCATGCTAGAGCCGTTCGGAATACAAGGTAATGTGGCTAGCACTACGCTTCAACCGCCTATTATTACCTCAGGATTATGAATCCCAAGTACTCATTTAAGGCTGAGTACCTAGATACCCAAACTATTTTTATTTTAATAAAAATAGTCGGCTGATGAAATGCCGGGTGTATGATTCGAACCCACTACCTTGAGATTGGTAGACGAGTGCCTGTACCTCTACACCACCGGGCACGGTCAATACGTGTATATACACTGATAAAAAATGCTCTTAATTATAATAATGAAGAGCATTTTTTTATCACTGTATATACATATACCGTATGATTAAATATCCAAAGCAGGCTTGGATATCTCGATTAGAGCATTTATTGATCATAAAGTATTTTATTAGTACTAAATGCTCTGATCGAGACATCCAAGCGTGCTTTGAAAATCGTATCAAAAATGATACGAGTGCTTTTATTACCATACACTTTTTTATTACCATACACGATGTCAAAAAGCGAAAGGAGAAATAGATGTTAGAAATCAAAAAGCTTTCATACATATCTTACCATTACATTTTTTTACAGAAGTGGAGAATCATACAGTGCCTACTTGGAATCGATGCCATGGTTAACAATACCGTTTCAACAAGCTTCGGTCAGAGCCGAACTAGCTCAGTTATACGGAATTAGAGGAATACCCACTCTTCTTCTCTTGGATAGTAATGGTCATGTGATTACAATGGATGCCAGAACAGAACTGATAGAAGATCCTTTAGCACAAGTAATAGTTATCACATTGTTCAAGGAAACATGCAAACGTTCATTTCTTATTTGTAGAATTTCCCTTGGAAACCGAGAGCGGTTAACATTTTGACAGATCGATTTTTAACGAAGCTTCACGATTACCCAGCTATTGTGCTGTTTGTTGGTAAGAATATGTTCCATTTGTTTACTTGTTCATAATTAGTATAATTACGATGCACAGTTTATTATAGGCTTGGTGTATTTCAGTTGATTTCAATAAATTGCGACCGCAGCGCTTCAACAGCAGAAATCAGAAATTATCAGTATGTATTTCCCGCTATGGTTACAGTTCATGTTGATCGCATTAAAATAATATTGAAATCATGTCTTTCTCATAATATTTAAGAATTTTAGTTTTATACTAGTGCAGCTATTTAGACTATTAACACTCAGGAACGAGGTTTGTGTGATGTAACGCTGTTTCGGGTAGTAAAAAATAAGTGAAAAAGAATCCAAACTAGGCGTCGTGTTGTGTGTTATGACAATTTCAAATGTTAATAAAATTTCCGAAAAAATGTTAACGCGTAAAGGAAAGCGTAATTAAGGCGTTGTTGGGTGCAATAACATTCAATAACTCAACTTTGTTGGATATTGAACACTCCCGAAACAACATTTTATAGCTTCCTAGTTTCTCACACCGATTTGATCAAAAGCAAAAATGGATTTAAGCAGTTCGACGAAACAAGTGAGTAAAAAAGTGCTCGTTACATAATCAAAAAATTAAATAGACATATACTATGAGAGGATAAAATATAATTTGTGCAATATTAATGGTATACTTTTGTTAATCGACCAGTGATTATATCTTTTATGAACATCTTTCAAAATTGTAAAGTCTTTTAATAATAACAAATTATAATACAAGTTAGACATTCTGAAGATATCAAAATATTTAATTTTTATTTTCACAAATTATACTTCCTAACACTTTTTAGAATAAATATATAATAAATTTTTCGTATACTCGCTATTTAAACTCGTGTATTTGTATATACTAGTTGTTTACGATATTCTCCGATAGTGGCAGGCACCGGCGGAGAATGCACCAAGCCTATGCAGTTTTTTTCATAATAAAATTTAAAATTACAAGCATTCCTATCCATATTAAATAATACCTATTAATTCGGTTTTTAATATGCTCACTTTTAAATTTAAATCAATGATCAGTCATATTTTTTCAGTTTTTTTTGAGAATTTTTTTTTGTTTTTAGTTAAAAAACATAATTCCTTGATAATATGGCAACATAGGTTGTAGATTAAATTTACAAGAAAGAAAACCCAGAAAAGATCCACTGGTTTTCAAAATTTTAGCAAAGTCATTTTTTTGGAAATTTTCAGATATTATTTTTGGAAATTTTCAAGTAAAATAACTCCGTTATTTTGGACTTATTTGAAAAACGATAAAGAGAAAATATGTTTCTTTTATCGAGATCTACCACCCCTTAAAATACTTACACTTATTTCTGGGACATCCTGTATATACACTGTATGAACGAAAAAACAGCCTCCAGTTGGCTTGGAAATGACGATCAATGACATTCCCAATATAATTTTTTTACATATAAAATGATAGCGATCTTCAGTTCGTAGGTTTTTTCCGATCATATTGTACGTGCAAACAATCAACAAGACAGTAGTATTGGTATTAGCGCAATTAATTTTTGTTTATTATTATAGATACAGAGGAAACCGAGCTTCAATTTGCCGAATCGGTACTGATACCAGCTGCAAATAATTATTATAAAATAAACAACATAAATTTCGCATCCATATTCGAAGATCGGCTATTTTCCATGTGCAATCAAGATGACTATTTTCTTCAATTTCTAGTGGGTACAGATAGCGAATCAACAGATATTTTACGAGACCTCATAGGTAACATACTTATAGCCTTATAGATAGGTTTACTTTTTTATTTTGAACTTTTTTTGTAAATACACTTCACCAAAAGTGTGAAGACTATTTTAGGTGTATATATTTTTATTTTATACATGGTCCGGTAATAGTGAGTCGGGCATCTGTAGCTACTGGAATAAAAAACTTGAATTTTTTTTAAGTTCAAACCTAAAGTATGTACAAGGATGTATTTCAGGAAAATATTTTAACTTCTGTAGTATGGCTCAAAAAAGTGTGAGTGGATCGGGATGATTTTTTTAAATGGAACACCCTGTATATTATTGCATTTTTGGCTTCCCTTCAGATCACTTTACATTTTACATAATCCTAAGAAATATAAAAAAATATATATTTTTTTAAATATATTTCGATAGTTTCAGAGATATTAATCAATAAATAAAAAATATATAATTTTCAGCCATCATTAAAAAAATATTAAAAATACAAGAACTGTCCTGAAATCAAAACTATATTAGGTACCTATTTACTATAGATGGTCTGCACTTACTTTCCTATAAATATTGGTATCGTAAATCATATAGGATGCTCAAAATTCTACGTCAAACTTTTTATTATATAAAATAATTTTTCTTCGTTTTCTCAAACGGAACACGTGTATATTATTTTTTCAATGGATGGAGAATTAGAAAATAAACATTTTTTCTGTTTAGAGTATTTCAAAATTGTTAACAGTTTCGCAGATTATCGCGGTTTTATATTTCATATGGCATTTTCCACAGTAAATTTTTATCAAAACCAAAAGCCACTCAATGATTTTTCACTGGTATTTTAGCGTTGAGAGAGAGTATATGAAATAATACTGCGTATATCTGTGAAACCATTAAAAATTTTGAAATATTTTAAATACAAAAAATGTTCATTTTTTAATTCTCCATCTAATAAAAAATTAGTATACAAGGTGTTCCATTTAAAAAAAAACAAAGAAAAATTATTTCATATTTTAGAAGGTTTGACGTAGAATTTTGAACATACTGTATGATTTAAGATTACGATATTTATAGCAAAGTAAGTACAGACCATCTAAAGTAAATACCTCATATAGTTTTGATTTCAGGACAGGTTCTTGTATTTATAATATTTTTTTTAGTGAAGGTTGGAAAATATATATTTTATTTATTTATTAATATATCTGAAACTATTGAAAAATATTTACTCATATTTTAGGATTATGTAAAGTGATCAGAAAAGAAGCCAAAAATGCAATAATATACAGGGTGTTCCATTTAAAACAAATCATTCCGTTCTACTCACACTTTTTTGAGTCGCCCTATAGAAGTTAAAATATTTTTCTGAAATACATCCACATACATACTTTAGGTTTGCACTTAAACAAAATTCCCAAATTTTTTATTCTAGGAGCTACAGATGCCCAACGCACTATTGCCGGTCCCTGTATAAATTTAATAGACCGATTATTATTATTATTATAGGCTTAGACGACGTGGTACCCCTACTAGTAGCCTTGGATATACCAAACAGGAGATTCGCTACTATGGAATATGGTATAGAAATAACAACAGAAAGTGTAAACGATTTTGTCAGAAAGTTTCAAGATAACGACCTCGAATTTAAAGCTATTCATGATGTTGGCGTCGAAAACGCTGAAAATTTGTAATATATCAATATCTCTTGAGTCTGTCCAACGAGTCAGGGAATATAAATACTATTTACGTGTTCACAAAAATGACAGACCCAACTGTCACTGTCATGCATCCTTTCGTCGGACAGACCATACCTACATTTCGTATCTAATTGGCTTAACTAAACAGATCTAAGATTAACACGATAACTCAAAAACCGCTAAACCGATTTTAACCAAATTTGGCACAAAAATACTGTGGCACCCGAGAATCCATTAGTTTTTGGTGGAGGTTGGGGGTTGGTAAGGGGATATGGGAGGGGGTTAAAAATTTTAAAAAATCGTAACTCCAAAATTACAGTAGCTAGCGAAACGCGGTTTTCAATTTAAGATTAGGAATAATATTTGCAACAAAATTTGTAATAACATCAAAATCAGTCAAAGTCGCAGTTTTTGAGATATTCCGTGTTTCCGTGGTCCATTTTTGAGAAAATCCGTGTGGAGAACTCCAAACTCCCATCGGACGCGACCCCAGGTGGCGGATAGTGGAAATAACCGCGGACCAAAATTGGAAAAATTCCTTTACTTTGAAACTAAAAGAACTGTCTACCAACTTTTTATTAACATATTTTAGTATGGGCGGCTATACGTGCCTCCTGGCGCCAATTTTTTTTAAACTAACAATAATAAAATATGTTATTATCTTTGTTATTATTGTGTGGCACAAATATATAATATTGCGCCAATCCAAACAAAATGTATTTTTCTTCACTAATTCAAACACCCTGTACTTTATAATATTATTACTAATTCCGTGAGTCCATATAGACAGTTTTTTTCTCAGATCTGTATAGTTGCCAAAGAGATATAAATAATTTAACATGTGATAGACATTTTTTAAAAGTTTACTTTTCAGTACCTACTTAATATCTTACTTCAGTTGATTGTATGATATTTTTTATCAACAATGTGTAATTAGTTAAATTTTTAGATGAAAAAATGTTTTTACTTCGTTAAAATAGGTTCTAAAATGTTATAGTTACAGAACAATTGATTTAAAGAAAATTTTGTTTAATTTAGTCAATTTCATTCAAATTATCCAAGTTTGTATCCCTAAAAAATCATTTCAATTTCTGGGGTACAGATTTGTAGAAGTACTAAATAAAAAATTGTAAACACGCTTACACACCCTCAAACAAAATTGTCGAATTAAACTTAATTATCACTTCCAACAATAATTAATTGTATTATTTTAAATGCGATGAAACAGTACAATTTAAATTCATTGCTTGTTCTATAACTGCAACCTTATGCCCTATATGCTGTAGAATAATAATAGTATATAGTATTTTCTATACATATTATGATATTGTAATATTGTAATTACTATTATTCATGTTAAAATCATATAGAAACATAAATAAGTCTTTATTTCTATACCTGTACAAAATTTGCATGTTCGAAAACTGTTGAGTAGAAAAAACATTAAGGTCGTTGTAAAGTTTTGTAATTGTATGTTGTTGCGTAAGTATAATAAAAAATGTAGAATAATTGAATTAGAAAAATTGACTTTTACTTTTCCATAACATATATATTACACAGTAAAAAAAATAATCCCTATTAAAATCTTCCACTCCTTTTTCTCCCTGTATACTTTGAATCTGGCCTTACATTTTTCCCTTGTTTGCGCCTTCTCTCTTTCTTATCTTGTATCCATGATTTGACACTTTTTAACGACTGACCTCTTTGGGGTTTTATTTTCCCTCTCCTAGAGTAATCTATACCTATAGATACATAAAATTATTATATTATTAGTTGAGAATAAAATAGGATTTAGTAAGACAGAAAAATGCAACATCAATTTGTATTTATGTTAAATAGGCCTATAAATCTATCAGTTGTAGGGAATACAATCCCGCAAATGCTGGATCCCGCAAATGCGGGATCCCTCTGTATTTCCGCGGGATCAAATTTGCGGGATTTACCGTGCGGGATCGACACCAGGGGATTCCCCTTACGGCTTGGCCATTAAAAATAAGTGAAACAAACAGGTTAGTTATTAGATTTCTTTCTGGCGTGACGTGAAAGTGAAGAAAAGCGTTTAACTAGTACTTGTGGACAATTTCGTTAAATAAACTGCCGGACATAATTATCGGGACAAGCAAAATTTTAGGGTAAATTTAAGTTGAATATCTCTTGAACTAAAAAAGATTTTGGGATGCGGTTTGGACCACGTTTTAGATGCGTCTATTGTGATTAAGATACTATGTGATTTTCGAAAATATATTTAGCGAATTCTCGTATACAGGGTGTTTTATAAGAGTGTGAAAATTTGGCCAAGAATCTTTTTTACCGCAAATTTACAGTTTTTAAAAAATCGAAATTTTTACCAAGTACAACTAAAAAAATGAACTACTGAAATTAGAAAAAACAATTTGATCGGTTTATGGTTTTTTATTATTTTTTTTTAAGGAAAATACGACGTTTTCTCGAAAAATATGCATTTTTAGTCATACGATGGTCCTAAATGGTACAAAAAGCTTTGCACATTCTGCATATGCCAAAAAATTATTGATATAGAGTGTATCTAAAAGCAGATAACTAACACAAATTGAAAAAAAAACCTTCAACATCAGAATAATACTTTTATTTATAAAATAAGTAGATAAATTATAATAAAATTTAAGTTTATTTAATATTAAATATATTTTTTGAACGCCCTGTATACATCGGTCCAAATTTCTGTTCAGCCAGTTTAAGATACACGCTATATCAGTATATTGTGGGCCTATGCAAAATGTACAATGCCTTTTGTACCATTTAGGACCAAAAATATGACTATAAATGGATATTTTTCGAAAAAAAACTCGTATTTTCCTTAAAACAAAAAATTTAAAAAAAAAACCAAATTGTTTTTTCTAATTTCAATACAGATTAGTCGTACATAGTTAAAATTTCGATTTTTCAAAAATTGTAAATTTTCGGTAAAGAAAATTTTTGACCAAATTTGTACACTATTATAAAACACTCTGTATACGAGAATTCGCTAAATATATTTTCGAAAACCACATAGCATCTTAATCACAATCGATGCGTCTAAAACCTGGTCCAAACCTCATCCCAAAATCGGACAGAGAAAAGAAGAGCATTTATTGTTTACAATCTCGCAATTTTGCGGATCAGCGGTATTGATTGCTTTAATCCCGCGGGTTTGCGGGATTGGGATTTTGGGGCGGGATTGCATTCCCTAATCAGTTGATTTCGTTTTTTTTTAGTATTATAAACGCTTACTAGTCCAAGAAAATAGGCCTTCAAATACGAAGTTTTAGTAAAAACTTGAATTTTTGATATAAGTTACTTTAAAAGATCCGAAAAGCGAACTGATTTTTTTAATTCACAGAAGGAATTTCGGAGAAACTGTAAGGAATAAAAAAAGAAAAGTTCCAATAAAAGTTGTAGAGCGTCAAATTTTACATAAAAATATATACAAAATTTTAGTGATTAGTGAGGGTGTCTAGAAGCTAGGGGATGATAGTCTTGAGATATGAAAAATTCATATATTTAAATCTTGTTTTCAATTTGCTCAGAAAATTATAAATTTCAATTCATTCTTTTAAATTTACCCCCGAGAAAAGTTGAAAAATATAAATAAAGTGGATTTTTTTTTAAATTTCAAAGAAACGGTAAGGACTTTGAAAAAAATGTTTCAATAAAAGCTGTGCCATAGCTTCTAGCCACCCTATCTCGTATCACCCCAACGTATCACAGTCGCCTCTCTACAACTTTTATTTGAACGTTTTTTTTTTAGTAGCGAAATTTAGACAAATACTTTATTTATAAAGTAAATTAAATTAGGCCTTCAGTTGATTTCTCTTGATATTTTGATGAAATAAACTGCATTTATTTCATCAAAATATCAAGAGACAACGTTTAATCAACATAAAACAGCCCACACAATTCAAGACAAGAGGAAAAGAGTCAGTGGCACACATTTCTTTAATATTCCAATGATAACCCATATGCACATCCCTGATGAATTTGCCAGCACTTTTTTAGCATTAAATTATGTAATACTTAAAGTAACTTCTACACCCAAAATGTCATTCAAATTAAAATTGCTTTAGGAGCTTTGAAGAAAATTATGATAAATAAAAAAAAGACTTTACCCCCCTGTAACTACAAAACAAAGCAAAATTGGACCTATGTTAATATGAAAAATATATCTTATTTTTAGATGAGGAATCTCCCCACGAGAGATGACACATATTTTTTAAAAAAACCTTGTAGATCTAAAACTCTAGTTTATAACAAAATTCATAAATGAATATACTTAATAATATCAAATTACTTAATATATATATATATATATATATATATATATATATATATATATATATATATATATATATGTAATTTCTTTATTAAACATTAACTTTAACCTTGTCTTCAACCTACCTTCTGATGACCTTTCACTGTCTAGACCTTTTGGTAAAGGTACATTACCACCAGTCATCAAGACTAAAAAGAATTTCTTTGCTTTTGTCGAATTTGGATAATCTACCACAATACCCCCATAGAAGCCTGCTTTCATTGCTTGGGCTGTTACTAGTTCCATTTGCTCCCCATTCTCAGGATAAAATTGCAACACAGCTCTAGCCGACCTACTCTAAAGATTTTTTTTCAATATTGTATTATGTAAAGTAAAATTCGTACTTACCAAACAAGCATATAATGTACTAAAAAATTTGTACAGCCTCTTGACAGGTTTGTGATGTGATTTATCAGCATTACATAACCACTGTAAGGCTGATATTGAAATTGCACCATCAAATGCACCTATAAATTATCAGAAAAATGTAAAACTTCAAATTTAGTTTAACCAGGTCGATTAAGATATTTATGCTTATGGTTTACTGACCAGCTCTAAATGGACATCCTTGACCCATATCTGCTAATAACAAGTCACCTTCAACTTCCCTATCTTGGGCTACATCTTCAGAATAAATTTAATAAGTAAATTATTTTTTCCCTAATTCTCATATTATATACATACCTAACATAGCTGTTGATATATCAATTCCTACCCACTGGTGGCCGTTTTCCTCTAATACGCTTCCGCTAAGTCCTGAACCACATCCTATATCCAATATTAAACTTGGAATATCATCGGATAGTAACAATAACTCTAGAGCCCTTGCTGTCATTTGTTCTTGAATTTCCATAATACGAGTACTAAAACATGCTTAATGTTAAATTGTCTACCTGAAATTATTAAGATAAACCTACTTCTGGGTATATTTCTTGGCCTCATTTTCGTTGTAAAACTAAAATACAATTAAAAATAGTTACACTTCCGATTTAATTATATAAAATATAATACAAAACTCACAATTTCAGGGGGCGCCAAATGTTCTGGTCGTGACATGATTAATAATAAATTAATATTGTTTTATTTTCTGTTAAATAATAATAATTTTTTAATTCCTACAACCATAATAAATAACATAGCCTCAAAATTGATTAACATTTAACATGTGTTTATGTGTCATTCCCCTCTTGTCACTTCAAAGGCATGTTTCCATGGCATGTTTCCCATATGTTTCCACATGGTTTCCAGCTATGGTTTCCAGCTAGTTTCAGTTAGTTATTCTATGGTTTCCAGTTTCTAATGATTGCATGGTAAATAATTTTTCTCTGTGGTGCTCTGCTGAAGATAGAGATCATTTTTATATGTTACTCAAATTCAAGAATGCCATAATAACCAATAAGCCTATGGAGGGCTTAAAAAGTATTTCAGCCTTCGTATTAAAGCCAGACCTGAAAATACAGTGAAGCTCAAGCTGGCACAAGGTAATGGAACAAAATCAATACAGTAGCATTACTATCTTTTTGAATTTTGATACTGAAATATTCTGTAACTATCACTATACCATTACTTTTTGCTAAAATAATTAGTACGTGCTTATTTTAAAATCTTATTTAAAAGTTAGAGCTTTTAGTTCTCATGTCTCATGATAGTTGCTTATATGTCAACCCTGCTCATAAAGTAGTTCAAATCTTTAAAAATTTTGACCATTTATTTGACAACATCATTTGACTTTTGACTTTCAGTAACTTTCAAACGGTTTTTGGCGGTTGGAATATTTTGATGCAGGTTATAATAAATATGGTTAAAATAAATTTATGACCTTATAATGTTTGTAGAGGATTTTAAAACAGATTTCTATGAATTTTTAGCCGGAAAAGTAAGTATTATTCTATATAAGTATGTCCTTTATGATTCTATTAGTGTTCATTTACATTATTTACTATTTACCTATTATGCTATTATTTATTATTATGATGTCTATAATTTACTGTTAATTTAATAGTGCTTATTCATTTTTCTTGAATTGAAGAAACTGAAATTTAATTTTTAGAGAGTGTTTTTAATGGTTCATTATGATATTGACAGTATATGTGCCTGCAAAATATTACAATCGCTTTTAAAATATCGTAACATACTATACACAGTTGCTGTTATACAAAGACTTGAAGACCTAAAACGTGCTTATGTTGAAAATTGTGAGGATGTACAATATTTTATTTTATTAAATTGTGGAGGAACAATAGATATAGTTGAGGAACTTGAACCCGAAGAAGAGAAAGTTTTCTTTATTTTGGATAGCCATAGACCAATAGATGTATGTAATATTTATTCTACAGATCAAGTAAGACTATTGACAAGACCAGAAGAAGATGCATTAGTACCTGAATTCAATGATATATTTCGAGATCAAGTATGTATAAAGAATAACAAAAGTGTGGAAAGAAAAAGGGATATACATAAAAATATTTTCAGTCCGAATCAGAAAATGAGTCTGATAGTGATAGTGACAATGAAGGTCGAGCATCAAAAAGGAGAAGGCTAGGAGAAGAGGCAATATTGAAAAGAAGAGAGAACAGACTGTGGGAGGAAAACCGAAACAAATTATTGTTCGAATACTCTCAGTTCACATATTATGCTAGAGCTGTATGTGCTAACATGGAACTAGATGATGTACATGTAAATTATTAATAAATTATTTATTTCAGAGTGCTATATTTATGTTCGAATATGCATGGAAATTAAACAAAGAAGATAAAGATTTACTATGGTTAGCTATAATAGCATTAACAGAACAATTAATTTTTGGAAAAATTGAACATACACAGTATATTTTAGAAATGGGTAACATAAAACATAATTGTTTATATTTCTAATTGTATATGTATACCATAACATAATTTTTAGAAGCCTTAAGAGCACACTGTACAAGACTACAACACAAAAGTAATGATACAGATGTCTTAACATCACTAAAAATTTTATTTGAAAAAGATTTAAGGTTAACATTATATAGACATTGGACTGTAGAGCACAGTTTGAAATATTCAATGTTCACTGCTATAAGAATGAAGCTCTGGACATTAAAAGGTGACAAGAAAATTCATGAACTATTGGCGGACATGGGGTAAAATCATCTATAATTTATTTTTCTTAAATTTTAAAACACATGCATTTTATGTCAGTTTACCTTTGGCACAAAGTAGGCAACATTTTAAATCAATGGACTTGCAGTTGAGGAAGGAGTTTCATAGTTCCCTAGAGAAATTATCAGAGAAATATGGGTTGCAAGATATAGAATTTACTTCCTTTATATTGCAATATGGTTATCAGCATAAATATTGTGCATCGGATATTGTATTTGCATTAATTGCTATTTTAGAAGCATCAGTAAGTGTAACAGTGATTTTAAAAATAACATTTATTACAATATAATATTTTAGCCAAGAGATAAAAAACCTGAAGAACTTTTCAACCTGGCTCTAGATTGTCTTTCAAGAAATAAAAAGGAAATAATTGATAATGCAATTGAGAAAGCAAAAATTGTAGCCAAGTCCCTATTTAAAACAGTACAAAATGCCTTAGATATGAAGCAAATAATTAATGCAGGACCATTTGTTTACTATATAGTTCAAGAAGTAAGATTCCCTAAAATAGTATTTTTATATCAATACAATATAGTTCATGTAAAAAATATTTTTATTATGTACAATAGCTCTATTTTTTTTTTTTGGTTGAATCCAATAATAAATATACAACATGATAAAAAAACAGCGTCAGCGATGGCTATGAAATGAAGATCACTGTCATTTTACATGTAAAATTATATGGAGCATGTCATCAATCGTCATTTCCAAGCCAACTGGACGCCGTTTTTTTTTTCGATTATAAGGTAGTTTCTGTTTGATACAGACTTAATTGAATATTGTTTGAAATTGGAGAATACTGTATAATAAAAAAGAAAGACGGAATGACGTCATGTTAGGAATGTCAATTGATGGCATTCGCCAAATAATTTTTCTTATATTATGTCATCGATCGGTATTTGTAAGGTAACTTGGCACCTGTTTTCGATAATATGGTGTTTTGATCATTTAAATATTATAATTCTTGTTTTAGGGTTGTTTAGACTGGTATATGTTTTCTCATCAGCATATATTATTATTACTAAGTCAGTTTGTTTTGAAAGCTTACGTTAGTATGTCCAGAAATAAGAAAGCCTCAACCTTGCCTCTAATAATATCGGTACCAAAAAATATAGAAAATGGTACCTGCATTTTAATTGGTATTCCTCCAGTCTGTGAAACCTCACCTAGAAAGTAGGTTAAACATTTTTGTCTGGAATAATACATTCAATTTTATATTATACTTTTAGTTTTTTCGGTAAGGCATTCGAACAGGCAGCTGAAAAAATGAATTGTGAAGCCAACTGTGATTATTTTGATACATCATGTAAGTGACATAAAAACTATACAGGGTCGCTGATATATATGGGAACGGTCGATTATTCGGTAAAATATAAGAGGTACCGCAAAAAGTTAAATATAAAAGTTATAGGGTTTTTAAATAGCTATTAGCAAGTAATAAATTTAAGTATACAGGATCGGTCATAAACTCGTGGCACATCAAAGTTTCATTTTTTTTAATGAAACCCCCTGTATATTATTGTATATTTCGGTTCTTCCTTCAGTTTCTAAGCAAAACTCGAGATACACACAACCAACCGAACCGAAATATGCAATAATATACAGGGGTTTCATTTAAAAAAATGAAACTTTGATGTGCCACGACTTTATGACCGACCCTTAAATACTATAAAGATATAATACTTTAAAGAAAAAATACTAAATACTAAATTTATTACCCGCTAATAGATATTTAAAAACCCTATATAACTTTTATATTTAACTTTTTGCGGTACCTCTTATATTTTACCGAATAATCGACCGTTTCCATACATATCAGCGACCCTGTATAAGTCAAAATGTACAGGGTTTTTCAAAAACATGTACCATCTCTCGAGGGGAGATTCCTAATTTAAAAATAAGGTTTATTTCTCATAACAACATTGGTCCGATTCTGCTTTGTTTCGTAGCTACAGGGTGTTAAAGTCTATATTTTTTCGATTTATTATAATTTTCTTCCAATGCGACATATTTTCACACATACATATTCACCAGGAACGTGCATATGGATTATCACTGGAATATTTTTCTATAAAAAGCATGTGCGCCACTGATTTTTTTTCTCTTGTTTGCGAAATAGTGTAAGCAGTTTAATGCCGATTGAAACTTGTCTCTTGATATTTTGTCGGTTTTGGCCTCCTTGATGAGATAAACGCAATTTGATTAATTTTCCTTCATCCAAGTGTAATATATAGTAACCTTTAAAAAAATTTAATATCATTAACTTGCGAAAGTTTTAAATAAGTACTCATTGATTCCTCATCAAAAAATATGAAAAAAAGTTTCTATATAATGAAACATGGATATGGAAATGCATAGTTTTAGAGTGACAGGATGTTAAAACTTTTTAAAATTAGGTGTTTTGTAATTACCTTAAATACCATTATTTTTTATTTGAAATTGCTGTAGGTTGGACTAATAGTAATAATATTTAATAATAAATTAAGTAAAATATACAGGGTGAGTTTTAAATGAGTGCAAATATTTTGAGGGGTGGTAGTTCTCGATAAAAGAAACATATTTTCTCTTCACCGTTTTTCAAATAAATCCAAAATAACCGAGATAATTCACTTTGAAAATTTCCGAAAAAATGATTTTTTGCTAAAATTTTGAGAACCAATCTGGATCTTTTCTGGATTTTCTTTCTTGTAAATTTAATCTACTACCTATGTTGCCATATTATCAACAAATTATGTTTTTTAACTAAAAACTAAAAAAAATTCAAATTTTTAAAAAAAAACAAAATTTTCAAGTTTTGTCGCGAAAAAAAACCTCATAATCGTGTTTCGGGTCAAAATGTACTACCCCTAAAAATATTTACACTTATTTATAATTTATTAATTTTATTTTAATTTTATGAATTGTGATTAATAAAATGCGTTTATCTCATCAATGAGGCCGAATTCGACCAAAAATCAAGAGATAACTTTTAATTGACATTAAACGACAATTTTGATATCAAATAGAAAAATCAGTGGCGCACATGTTTTTTCCTGAAAAATATTACAATGATAACGAATATGCACGTCCCAGATGAATTTATCGACAGTTTTTTAGCCTCAACATCGGCACTTTTATCCTCAAAATTTCATTTGAATCACTAAAAGTACTTGGAAGAAAATTATAAATCGAAAAATTATTAAGACTTTAACACCCTGTAGCTACAAAAAAAAAAGCAGAATTGGACCTATGTTGATATGACAAATAAATCTTATTTTTACGTGAGGAATCTCTCCACGAGAGAGGGCACATGTTTTTTGAAACGCCCTGTATATCAAAGATACCGTATGATCGAATAAAAACGGCGTTAGATCATAGCTATGAAATGACGATCAGTGATATTTCCCATATAAATTTACATATAAAATGACAGCGATCTTCATTTCATAGCCATCGCTGACGCAGTTTTTTAAAAATTATTCAATGTGTAACTTATTTTTTGTTGTAGATATTGAAATATATTCAAAAGACAGAACCCGATTTTTTGATGCACTGGCTGCATTACTAAATTAATTTATTTTTTAGATTGTAATAGATTTTTTTAAAGATATTAAATATGAAACAATTCTGTAGGAATTTGTCACTCAAGAAATATTAATTTTATTAATATATTATTTGATTAATTTGACAATCAAATAATAAAATAATTAAATTTAGTAAATAGTACTGAAAAATCACTGTAAATAATTTTAACTAAATGTACAAAATAATTTTAAGCTAGAAAGATCAGTAATAAAACATTGTTTTTATATTTTATTAGTTTTATTTTAATTGAATTTTTTAAACTGGGTTTAGGTATTCAGTAGAGTGCACCAAATTTTTTTTTTCTTTTTAGTTAACAAAATAAAAATATTTTTCAAGATGATGAAAAAAAAATATTTGCCACGAAATAATGGCACAAAAATATAAAATATGATCTTTTAAAATATTAATAGAATATATAAAAATATAAAAAAAACTGTCCAAGTTATCATAATATCAGATTTGAAGTTGAACTTTAACCTTCAATAACTTTCAGATCATCATCCTGAACGATATTTTCAAGACAACTAAAAAAATATTTTTTTGTGCACTCTACTATACAGTCACTATGTTCATAATTTTTTTGTAATTTTATGAACATATTACGTTTAAACAAAGGGCATAAGTACCCTGTAAGAATAAAAAAAAAATAAAAAAGTTAAGACGGGCCTGTCCGGGATTTGAACCCGGGACCTCTCGCACCCGAAGCGAGAATCATACCCCTAGACCAACAGGCCGCTGTAGAAGGTAAGTTTAATAAATACATAACTAATAAGAATCAACATTTCTTTATTTTTGTTAAATTGTGAATTTTTTTAAGTAATATCTACGCCACATGTTTATGTAGAAACCTAAACGAAATTAATTGAAATAATCACGTGTTTGATTAACTTTTTAATAAACCTTTCAACTATGTGGAATTGAAATGAAAAGATATACTATTACAAACAGTAGAAATGTAACTATTGTATATGCGCAAGATTTTTATTCATTTATCTTACTTCATAGATAAAAACAAAACAAAAAATATAACTTCAAATCTACCTGATTCTGCTTTCCTTTTTGGCCTTTTCTTCTAAACCAAAAGTTGCCTGTCAGAATACAACTTTAGAGATTGTAGGAAAATGGAAACGAAAAAGAATGATTTATACAGAGATACTCCCGTTCGATATTTAGGTATGAATAAATCAAAAGGAATGAATTATTTAAAAGGACGCTTCACGTTTGTTTTAGGCTATACAAACGAGGTAGGCGAAGCTTTCAGATCTATTATAGGAACTAAATGGGTAAACTTAACGTATGGAATTGCGACCATGTACGTTCTAGCTGACACTGCCGACAAAAGCATTGAATCATACAAGGTATAAAAAATAATAATTGGTATAAACACAGTATAAAGAAAAGAAAACATGTAACATTCAAAATTTAAATATCCTTAAACTAGTAGCCCCATAGATGTAAATTACTTACGCTAATCTGTTTTTTGCTAAATCGTGTATTAAAAAAAGATGGCACTTTTGAAGTATGTGCAATCCTCTCTTACGTAATCAGATTTTTCGTAATGTATGCAACCCGTAATTTCGTTTTCTGGTATTTTAGGTAAATCAAAATGAAAAAAATCATAAAGCTAGAGTGGCTTTTACCACAACGGATACGTTAATCTGGCAACTGCTGGCGTCGGTAATAATTCCAGGATTTACCATAAATAGAATTTGTGCAGTTTGTAACTATACCTTTAAAAAATCGAATATGCTGCCTAAAAATAGCCGTAGGTGGTTAGTAACGGCAATAGGATTATCTGCAATACCTTTTATTATTAAACCAATTGATAAGTTTGTAGATTTTGTTTTGGATGAGAGTTTACGAAAAGTACAACCTAAGTAGTATTGTTAAATTGTTAATGATAGTAGATTTGTTTTATAGTAGGTATAAATAGAGCGTTGTATAGATGTGTTGACTATTTCCTCTGCTATTTCTATGTTTTTTACACAAATCAAATTGTTATAGAGTGCTTGTATAGAAAAGAAACTCATAAGCATTTATAAGTTCTTGAGAATTTCAGTCAAATCACCAGATACACCCTATAGTATAGGCTCAAAAGTAACTACATAATATAGATATACCTATGTATTAGGTATCTATTATATCCACTGTGATTATTGAACTTAAAATATATTTTGTTTAAAGCTGTTCATTTCAATTTTTATTTCGATAACACCAAGCATTCCAAATAAATAGCTATATATGAAATTAGAGATAAAAAAGATGTTTTTGCTCCAAAAAAGGATTTGTGAAGGCAGGTTGACACGGTACAAGTGTACTTGGACCTCAGACTTGGACCAAGTACAGTTCGCACCCAATATTTGGCACCCAGCCTTCTTACTTGGATGTTACGAATACCTGGTTAATAAATACCGTCTGATCGAAAAAAAACGGCGGCAGCCATGGCTATGAAATGAAGATCGCTGTAATTCTGTATGTAAAATTATATGGGGAATGTGAACGATCGTCATCTCCAAGCCAACTGGACGCGCCGTTCTTTTTTTGATAATACGGCACTATAAAAGCATCGTACAAGTGAGACACGCACAGCATCCCTTTAAGTATACTTATATGGCTGCATCCAGGTGTACTTGGCCCAAGTCATATACAGGGTGAGTTTTAAATAAGTGCAAATATTTTCAGGACTGGGTAGATCTCGATAAAAGAAACATATTTTTCTTTTACCGTTTTTCAAATATGTCCAAAATAACCGTAATAATAAAATTATTTTGCTTTGAAAATTTCTAAAAAAAATTATTTTTTGCTTCAATATATATTGAGAACCACTGGATCTTTTCTGGGTTTTCTTTCTTGTAAATTTCATCTACTACCTATACCTAAACAATAAAAAATAAACACATCAAGGACATAGAAACACACATATAAAAACATCAACAACTTAAAAAAATTACATTTTGTGGTACTTGTGGTGGTACTTTGTACAGGTTGTCCCATTTTTGTGTGTTTTACAGAGTGGTAGGTACCATTTATTGCCATATTATGAAGAAATTATGTTTTTTAATTAAAAACTAAAGAAAACTCGCTCATATATACGGACCGTGTCAACCGGACTTAAATAAAAAAAATAATACTTTATAATAAAAATGTAAAGATAGATAAAATTCTTTATATTTGAAAAAAAAAACCCTATGTTGGTATAATATTAATAGAGTTATCCTGCTGATAAAGTAACCATATTATATTATATTTTATATTTTTTATTAAATGTGTTAATTGGATAATTTTTCTTTTTAGTTCTTTAATTAATGGATATTTTTATAATTATGGTATAAGATATAATACAATAACGTAATTATATAGTTATCGTATCGTATAATTAGTTAGAAAATAAAATGCATGTTGTTATTATTATTTCTATTAAATAGTTAATTTAGTAGATGCGCAAATTTTAAATGGTTGCTGATCATTAGCCAAAATCAAAAGTAAATTGATTGTTCGGATTTTTTAAATGCGATCCATCAGATTATGCTATCTTAATGAACGGACACCTCGTATAAAAGATAACAAATAAGCACCAAATACTCTGCAAATACTGCCAAATAAGCAAGTTTAGATTGGAAAGTGCCCATAAGGACAATGTAAACACTATTTGGCGCTAATCTAGCAACGGTCGCGACCCAAAACTTTTGAAAATTTCGGAGCGGTTCGGCTTTTTCCGGAATTATATCGCCAAATATTGTTTATTCAAATTTATTATTATTTTCGTTTAATTTTATAAATAAAAGACTGTGTGTTGCATACAAGAAACTTTATTTTATATAAGGACGCATGTATGAAATACCTATGAAACATTGAAAACCGACGTTATGCCACGATCCACGATGGTTTTTGCAGTTCGCAATTCACAGCACAGCTTTTTAAGTTTTTAATGCCACTTTTTCACAATTATCACCGGTTGGAGTAAATGAAACTTGAATTAAACTCACAAGATAGCAATAATTACTTTGAAAATGGACGCTATAAACACTTTTCGGAATTGCTTTAATGAGAGCGGTTTAGATTTTGAAAGATGATTATGATTTTTGAAGATTCTGACTTTGACAAGAGAAAATTATTTCTGTTTTTGTTTGCCGTTGTTCTTAGCGACCGCTATAGCAGCGCCAGATCGCGTATAACGGTCGCGACCCAAAATAATTTCGCGACCTAAAATTTTTACGGGCTTTCCAATCTAAACTTGTTGCATTTATCTATGCAAATAAGTCAATATTATTATAGTAAACAGTAGTACAGTAGTAAAAATGCAGAATTTTTAGATGCTAATAAATGTAAATAATTATGTTTGAAAAATAAAAACTCCTTTATATGTGAACTTATATCTTTAGAAATGTCATGTCGATCGTCGATCGATATGCGATCGATGACATCTTTGAAAACCATGTTTGAAAACCGGAGAGCCTCCATAATTGAAACCAAAAAGTTTTCAGTTTTCACAGGAGAAACAAAAAGCATGCATTTTCAAGTGAGTATGAAGTGAGTTATATTCCGATTGTAAAAAAAATTGTCTACAGATAGCGGAATAATCAAAATTCGATTTTGTCTTGCAATACAGATCTTAATCGAAATAAGGTATAAAAATTGAACATTTTTGAAACGATATTTTCATTTTCAAATTAGGGTATTGATATATACAACCGATACATCGTATAATATTTTAGTTTCACCCTTGTTTTACAGACAAATAATCCCTTTGAATAATCCGCTAATCACCCCGTATATTAGAGAAAAAAATTAAATTCAGTTAAATGACTAATTAAGAACCAGGATTATGTGTTGAATTATTAATGAATTAAAATAAAAAGCGGACTTAATTTAAACAAAGCATAATCGAAAAAAAATTATCGCCTTATTGTTCCCGCCCTAGATCATATATAAATTTTATATATATGATCAGCGTCATTCTTTGGTGATTAATTTTACGGACACTTTACTTGCAAAAGATCCGCGAACTGGTCTGACTGTCAGCCAACAATCAGAATTTTCTGTGTGAACAGCTTACTGTTGGTTGGAAACCAATCAAAAATTTCTGTGCGAACGCGTCTTACCCTATTGCGCATGATTATCTGTTGGAAATATGTTTCTTACAGCTGTGAGAACAAACCTGTTGACATTTTGTCATGGTAGCCCTCACGAAAATCGTCTTTGTAAATTTTTTAAAAAAGGAAAATTTATTAATTAGTGAGATATGCTCTTTGATAATAATTAAAAACAAATACACCTCAAGTATGGGTAAAAGAAAAGCAAATAGTAATAATCCTAATAATGATTTCTGTGAATTTCTTGGAGGTAAATTTGTTGAATATTAAATTATAATATAGCATGGACCTTTAAAAAAGTTAACGTTACAATTTTAGAATTAGCAGAATATGAAAAAAATATTAATAGAAATATCCATAAATACCAAGCGTACCGAAAAGCAGTTGCCACATTGGCAACTTATCCCACTCGAATCAAATCTGGTCATGAAGCTAAGTCATTACCAGGTATTGGTGAAAAAATATCCAAGAAAATTGATGAATTTCTTCAAACTGGAAAGCTAAAAAAACTTGAAAATGTAAAGTTAAATATAGATTAATAAGCACCTATGAAGTTAAATAATGCCATAATAAACTTATAAATTAAAAATGTTTTAGATACACCAGGACAAGAGCAGTCAAATTATAAATTTATTAACTAGGGTCTCTGGCATAGGGCCTGTAAAAGCTCAAAAATTATTTAGTGACGGGATTATGACACTTGATGATCTAAGAAAAAATCAAGATAAACTAACTCACCACCAGATCATTGGATTGCGGTCAGAGTTACTATAACTTAGCGAGTTCTGCATAGTTACCTATTGTTTAATTCTAGATATTTTGATGATTTTGAAAAAAGAATACCAAGGGCAGAAATACATGAAATTGAAAATATTTTAAAAAGGGAAATCACTGAGGTGGATCCCAAGTATGAGATAATTATATGCGGTAGTTACAGGTGAAGTGTATCTTAACTATTGGCTCTGTAAATGTCTGACGAATTACTTCAGGAGAGGCAAACCAGAGAGTGGGGATATAGATACATTAATTACTCATCCAGATTATACCAGTGATAAATTCAACAAAAAACATAAAATTATGGTATTAAAAAGCATTATTGAAAAACTTAAAAAATGTGGTCTGGTCACAGAAACAATATCTCTTGGAGACACAAAATTTATGGTGGCTTATTATGATTTATAAAGTTATAATATGGGAGTTTATAAATATATTATAAGCATAATATAATATTATGTACATTTATATTTTTTAATTCTAAAAATTAATCTTGTAATTAAGGATTTTCTCAAATTTAAGGCATAATAATTCAAGGGTCCAGGGGAAAAACTTGATAAGCGCCAATTTTTTTTATTTTAAGATTTTACAGTATTATCACAGATTAGGTAAACTATATGTATACAGATAAAAATCTTGTCCCTAATTCGTGGTACGAAAATTGTTTTTTATGACGATGAGCAAACGAGTAAATTTCCTGTGCACAAAAATAAACTCGCTTTTAAACAGCTTAATGATTGTGGGCGTGCTATGTGCGCAAACTAGTAACCTAACTAGTGCACGACTCCGAAAATTGGAACCACAAAAACAATACTTTTGACAATAAGTTTATACTGTGGTATTATAGTAGGGATAACTGGTCCCTCCCAAACTAAACTCTGCAGGGCAATAAGTTGTTAAATCCTATGATATATGCCTAGTAAAAATATAGAATACACGAAAAAACCTGATAACATAGATAAATTTTCTTTAAATAATCATCATCTTAATCATGTCTTTCCCCTAGACCCTTCAATTATAATATAGATTTTTAGTAACTTCCATATTAAAATTTAATACAACTTAGTTATACCGTATGATCGAAAAAAAACGGCGTTAGCGATGGCTATGAAATGAAGATCAGTGTCATTTTTTATACGATGTACTTAAACAGCTGTTAAACGGTAGCCTACTAAAATGCGGTTAATAGATAATGTGACGTCGTTTATGTCGGCGGAAAGTAATGCCTAGCTATAAGCATTTTGCAAGAGCACCTGTGGCTCCGTGGCTGGCAGTGGTTATTTGGTGGGGTTGATTGGTTTTTACTAATTTATATTTGTTTTTTATATTTTTTTATCAGTGTCGAGGTTAGTTGCGTTGGTTATTTGGTGGGGTGGATAGCATTGGTTAGTCCTTATACAATTCCTATATTTCATAAAGCCGTCAAGTGCGTCACATCAACGACGTCATACCTATTAACGGCAGTTTAAGTACAGCCTTTTTTATATGTAAATTTATATGGGAAATGTCATCGTCATGTCAAAAATCGTCGAAATGTCATGATCCCATTATTGGGATCGTCATTTCCCAGCCAACTGGACGCCGTTTTTTTCGATCATACAGTATAACTAATAGTTAACATCTAATATATTTATTGTAGGGAGCTTGCCGATTAAATCCCGATTTACCAACCCGGAGATTGGATATAAGGTTTCAACCGTATGATCAATATTTTTGCAGTGTACTATATTTTACCGGTTCGGACGTATTCAATCAAAAAATGAGAGCTCATGCTTTAGAAAAACAATTTACTCTGAACGAATACACTTTAAGACCCCTTGGTTGTACTGGTAAATATGTCATATTTATTCATATATAAATAACGTTGGGAGGTACATAATATAATATTTATATCTAATTATAACATTACAGGGATACCAGGTGAACCTGTTGAAATAACTTCAGAAAGAGATATTTTCGATATAATTGAATATCCTTATAAAAAACCAGAGGAGAGGGAAAATTAGATTATTTTTAACTTTTTTAAATTGTACAAAATATAGCTAGAATTATTTTAAAAATATTTTACTTATATGACTTTTATTATTTGTATTTATTAAACGTATTATTCTTTATATTTTCATAAATGCTTGGATCAATATTTAAGGAGTCAATAAAAAGCTTTCATACTTTAATTCATATATTAAGTCCATCAATTTTAAATTTTATCAAATATTAATCCTTCACATAATTATAATACTATGTATATTCTTAAAATTAATTTAGATCTTATTATTTTACATAATATGAGAAGAGAATGTGCATTATAAAAATTAAAGTTCATATTTGTGAAATAATTAATGTCGTATTGTAATCCACTAAATAAATACAATTAGTATCTTGAGCAAATAATTTCCAAATGGCAAAATATATATTTTACACTATAAGACTTGTTTATAAAACGAATACCCCATTAATTCAAATATTATATATTTTTCAGTTGTTTGAAAAATAATTTTCTAAATTTCATATTATGTAATATCAGAAAACACAGCAGTTAATAAGTGAGGAGCAGACTTTATGCATTTATCCATTTTTTTAAGATTTTCAACCAAAGGTGGCATTGCAAACTACATACACACAGTTACAATATTATGTCAGAGATGACGTTCTAATGCATTTTATCCCATTCTAATTAAATGGCGAAAATACCTTAGATTTCCTATGTGCTGTATGTCCATTGGCGGTAGACAAACAGTATGTCCTTGTGCTGTGGACATACTGCTGTTTCCAAAAAAATCCTTTATGGGTATTTCGCCACTGCACTGCAAGAAAATCTACAAAATAAAATAATTATTTTTTGTAAACACTTCTGCGTTAAACCTAAACGGACGCTGCTTGTCAGAAGTTATGTTTATAGTAATACAAATTTGCCTAACAAAGAAAAAAAATGCTTAACGTTTCGGAAAGTTATCTCTTTCCGTCGTCGGAAGCAAAAAAATACAAAGAATAAAGACAAAAACTATTTAAAATATTTAAATTCAACTATTCGAGAATAATTTACTTTTTTAAAACAGATAGGTCTACAAGAAACCGTTAACGTTCTGTTAAAAATTGTTCAACGGTTTCTTGTAGACGTATCTGTTAAAAAAGTAAAGTGTTCTCGAATAGTTGAATTTAAATATTTTAAATAGTTTTTTTTTCTTTATTCTTTGTATTTTTTTGCTTCCGACGACGGAAAGAGATAACTTTCCGAAACGTTAAGCATTTTTTTTCTTTGTTAGGCAAATTTGTATTACTATAAACATAACTTCTGACAAGCAGCGTCCGTTTAGGTTTAACGCAGAAGTGTTTACAAAAAATAATTATTTTATTTTGTAGATTTTCTTGCAGTGCAGTGGCGAAATACCCATAAAGGATTTTTTTGGAAAGATGAATCCGCCACATAGGTATAGACATTTTTTATACTGCTGTTTGTCATTGCCACAGATGAAGATTTTTTTTCTGTACTACAACTTCTCTATTTCTTTAATCATACTACTTAAAATAATGAATGGAACTACGACCATGTAGTTAGGGATACAGACCGTAACAGAAAAATAGAATTTTCACGTCAATTTTTTCAGGTCAATTTCAAGTCAACAGTTTTTTTCAATTTTTTCAGATATCAAAACTAGATTTTTCACATGTAGGTGTACTATTTTTATGATTTTTTATCCATTTTTCAAGTATACTAGTTTTTAGGTAAGTTTCTTGCAAAAATCGTAGCAGTTTTTCTTTGTTTGCCAAAATTCGAAAAAATGGATCAAATGCATCTAGAAAGTCTGCTCCTCAACTCAAGTATACTATTTAACGTATATTCTGATTTGATTTTCGTATCATACGAGTTTGAAGGTATTTTGAAGTTTATTATTTTAACATAATAATAAAAAAGATCTGAGAAATCTCATATTTTTTTACATATTCATTTAAAATCTGACGGTCACAAACTAAAAACCAAGTTAACAATAAAACTTTTAATTTAAGTACTTCTCTTGAATAAAGGATACTCCAAAATCTCTGACAAATTAATAATTATTTCAATGCCTAATTTCAGTCAATCTTAAACTTTTTTTAAGCTGTTTTAATACTGAACAATATTTTGCGACATAAAATTAATTTACCTACCTAACTAAAATAATGGTTTTAGGCGCACTCTTCATCAGGTAACTGGGTATACATATTATTTTCTGATTTACAATTCCTAACTAGAACAAAAATGTAGAATCCACAAGAAGACACGAAAAATAACAAAGAAATTAAAAGTAAATATAAATGCCAAGTATCAAATAACAAACTATTGCATTCAGATTCCCATTCTTCAAGAGTCAATGTAATTGGTTTCAAAATTTCAATAAATTTCTCTAGGTCACATTCAGACTCGCAATTGTGTACTGAAACAAGTCTGGCGTCTGTTGTGTTTTTATAAAATACTTTTACGTATGATCTTCCTGAAGACTTGTATAATTCAAACAGTACTGTAGCTGTATAAGGTGGATTGTGATATTCGAAAGCACCCATTGAATTTAAAAGATTGGCAACGATTGTATCGTGACTAGAAAACATTAAGAACTTTGGTGCATAATATATCGCATTATCCTCGGTAGCTGAACGATTTTTAAAGTAATTGATTAGTTCATTAAAGAAAGGACCCGTTTTTAGTCTAGCAAGATCAGAAGTATAAGTATTTATAGCGAAACTTAAGCTTGCCAAATATTTCATTTTTGTGGGATATACTTTCTGAGCCCATTCAGGTAATGTGTAGTTGTAAAGCGTCTCAATATAAAAAGTGTTATATAAATATTCTAAATGCGTTAAGTCACTTATAGTATCTCCTGAATTTCTTGTCAGATAGGCATATAAATCATGATACGTATGACTTATATTTCTAAAGTAGTCATTTTTTAATAATTGTTTAAGTAAATAGCCGTGCTTTTTGCAAGGTTTTTTCTCAGCAAGAACTGCGTCCATATTCTCCGGAGTGGTGTGAATTGGGATGGGCTGCCAAAGTAGATTATTATCCCAAATGTCAGTCTTTATTGGAGGATATAGTCCCGCCAAATCAGCCTCGGCAGACATAAGCGTACGATCCACATCCGTAGAACGTACGAAAATATCTCTTTCTGAATATTCTTCTGGCAAAAAATCTGCGTAACGCTGGCGAAAGTACTGACCTAATTCATAATGTTGGCGTTTTCCAGTCTGGAAAAATAATAATTAAATTTGAAACCCGAAGAAAGACGGTAAAACTATTTAATTCGCTACAAAGTAGAGATGGGTAGGTCCGGATGGATATGCATCCACGGATCTTTCTCCGGTGCAAGTACTGATGGATGCATATCCTACTTAATAACGACCCCTATCCGCGGAACTGCATTACCGACAACCAACCGGCCACGTCGTCGGCAGATAACGCAAACATAACGATGCAGCGAAATAAATCAGTATTGGAGAGTATTGGAATAAAGAAGGAATTGTAATTGCTGCTGAGTTGTATTTACTGTTTTTTAAGTTTACTTTCGTGGAATCTTAATCATATTCTAAATTATTTTGTATTATTTAAAATTTGTGTTTGTAGTATTGTTATTATATTGCTCTATTGGTAAATTCAAAAAAATATAAAATATGTTATGATTGGACAGGGTTCGTCAAATCAATCAGCAGGCGAGAACTACATTCACATTTAGTTTTAGTTTTTTTTTATAAAAAAACCGCCATTTTATTTCTTAAAAATGGCGTTTCATTTTGCTTCTAGCATAAAGCAATCCCTATGCGGCAGTCTCGACTATATTTTATTAATTATACTACGCTAAAGTTCATAATGAGTTTCCTCGTAGTCATAAATTTAAACCTTAGGGTACCTCTACTAAATAAATAGAACAGCTTATATCATGTGATCATCAGACTTCACTAACAGACTACAAAACATTTAAACGCGGATTGCTTCATGCAAAACAACATTTGGATAAATTAAAATTAAAGGTTAGAATGATATAGATCCGGCGGAACTGGAACCTGGATGCAGGTCCATGAAGCTCCATGAAAAATACTAGATGATCAAATCACAAAATCAAAAATCTATTTTTCCAAGGCTCCTGATTAAAAATTAGTAGTTTGTAGTTTTATCACAGCCATGGCACTCTCGATTGAAATTTACAATACATTATTTATTATTTAAGCAAAGATGTCAAAAGTTGACTTATGATTTGTCGTTATCTTCAGAATGGTAATTTTCTATGAAATAAAGTAAAAATATATCGAGGGTACCATTTAAAAATCAATAGTTGTAGTCATTTCCCAAGGTTATTAATCTTTTAATAACGTTGGTAATTTCCGGTGAAACGAGAAGTGACAAACTAATTGAATACATCAATCAATCCTGATTTATGTCATATGCATGTAAAGACTAAATATTGTGTTTTTTATCTAAAAAATTACTTATAGGGGTGTAAAACAGATCCTTAATTACTTACTTAAAATAAAACGTTAAAAATTATACAAAACCGAACGTGAATATTTTAAGAAAGTTGGACATAGTATAGATAAAAACTGTATTTCCTCTGCCAATCAAAGTAAAATATAGAAATACTTTAATTCTGAGCCACTACCATAAAAAATATGTTTATCGGTTTTGCTATTAAGCTCTGTATAATTATAATTATAACTATCGATACACTTAAAAGAAACACACGAAAAGATGCCAAACAAGATTAAATCGCAGCATTAAGCAAGTGAAGCACTATCGACGGGGTTGGGTAGGTAGAAAATTTTATATTTAACATAATGAAAATAAAAACTACAAACTACAATAATTATTATTATACCAACATATTTTATGAAACCACAGGCTTTCTATGGTAAAATTAAAAAAAGGAACAACGAAAACTTCAAAAGAAAAAAAAATAAGACTTTTCTGTACGGTCTTCAGATTAAACAAAAAAAAATTCTAATAGTCTTCACATCGATTACTATTTCTTATCTTCAGGGAGTTAGTACCACAGAATAGAGAGATAGCGTGCGCACACATATTACACTTTTAACACTTATAAAATTTATAGAAAATAGAAAGGAAGAATAAGCATCTAAAGTGAAAAAAAAACGGCTTTAAATATACAAAATTATTGTTCTCAGATTGTATGCCTGTTTTATACCATTTTTTACCTGTTCTGAGATTTTATACATTTTCTACTTAATATTCTACATTTTCTACGCACTTTACTACATACACGTAGAAAATTGATTTTCTATGCGTCGTTACCCAACCCTGACTATCGGTTAATAATAATGATATGAAATAGTTGCACTTTTGTGGGTTTTTTTTATAAAGAAACTGTTTTTAGAAATATTTAACATTGATTAAACCATTTAAATATGATAAATAATTAGAACATGAACTTATTGCTTACACCACAAAACCTTGCATTCACGCCTGTTTTTATAAAATACAGATTGCAATGAACGTTTCTATTATTTCATGGAAACGAAAGGTAATTTTTATTGTACAGGGTGTCCCATTTTCATGTGTTTTACAGAGTTTCTTGTTTATGAGCAGAGATACAAAGATGCGGATTTTACATTATTGTAAAACTTTTTTATAAAATTAAAGATGCTACACACAGATTTGTCCTAGTCCTCTTAGATCCTGAAATACAGGGCGAAATTGAAATTGTTGCATTTTTCAACCCCTTTCGTACCTCGAAGGTGATAATTGAGTCCCAAAGAGTTTTTTTTCACGTAGAAACCAGTGGCGTAACTAGTTTTTTGCTGGAAGCTGTCATTTCTGAAATGACTCAATCTTATGTTGTTTTTTTAATGGGACACCCTGTATATTTTTTATTTTATTTGCCTTGTCTTGCGCTTTCTAAAAATATAATATTATATTCTATACTGATTTTCATTAACAAAGTAAAAAAATGCATTGTTTTTAACATTAATAAACCTAGTTTATAAGGGTATTATCAATATCAATTTTATTTAGTTTAATTTAACCAGACAATTTTGCTTTCTATCGTGGTATCTTAACAAACTGCACTGAAAATAAACTTGTGCAGCTTTTAAATATCATGCTGTCAATTAGAGTTACTGATATTTCAATGCACTTGTGCAATAATTCTACATTACAGTTGAGGGTTGGAACCTTTGGTGTTACACAGCAAAATAAAAACACAAAATCACCACAATACACCAAAACACTTTTACTTTTATACTGGACGCGCGTTTCGCTAACCATGTTTCAGTTTATAATCATCTGCTGATGATGCTACCATGGTTAGCAAAACGCGCGTCCAGTGTAAAAGTAAAAGTGTTTTGGTGTATTGTGGTGATTTAGTGTTTTTATTTTGCAATAATTCTACACACAGAAACTAACGTGGAATAGCCAATAACAAAAATATGACGTCGAATAAATTATTCGATTGTTTTGAATGGTTTTGATTAGGGCTGCACCGAGTACCGAGTAGTTCGGTGCTCGGCCAGAATTTTAACCGAGTAACATGTACTCGGTCGAGCAGGCCGACTCGGCCGAGTAAAGTATAGTAATAGAAACAATCCATTTATGCATGTCCAAAACAGATAGAAATGAGACTCACAGTGGCAAATAATAAAATAAACAAAAAGTTATTCATTCATAACTTTAATTAATGTATTTTAGCAAAGTAATAATAATAAGTATAAGTAATAACACAAACACAGTGAAATAATAATTTAATACTTATAATCTAAAAGAGGTCAGCACTGTCACTCATTTTATTATAACTTTAAAGGGTATTATTAATTGTTTGAATTATTTTTCACTTTTAAATTAGTTACACATATAAGATTTGCTTAAAACAAAATCAACGTCGCCACCGCACCTTAAAAGAATCAATTCAGAATCCAGCACATTAGAAATATCAGTTTGCATGGGGAACCACAGAATAAAACAATATCTCCATAAGTAAAACAAACCAGGTCATTGGTTTGTAGTCGGGGAATCCCAGCCGCTCGCCAATCATAGGCAAAACAAAAAAAGATCATTGGTTTAAGGCCGGGGAATTCCGGGAATTTTAACTAGCTTTCTTTAATGTTAAATTATATATTTATATTTATATTATGTGTATGTGAAATATAATATTATGTAGAAATGTAAAATATAATATTATTATGTTATGGTGTATAGTATAATTAGTATATATTGATAAAGGTCGCATAACCTGTTAAGACTATTAAAAACCCGACAATTCCACTACTCGGCCATTACCTTTAGCCGAGTACTCAGTGCTCGGCCAAGTTAAAAAACAGGGCTCGTTACAGCCCTAGTTTTGATTACCTATTTTAAACCGGTCGCCTATGTTAAAATTTAAATAATGCATATTTACTTTGTTTATGAAAATAAGTATAGAGTATGTTATATTTTTAGAAAGCTCATAACAAGGCAAATAAAATAAAAATATAATATACAGGGTATCCCATTTAAAAAAAACATAAGTTTGGGGCATGTTTCAAGAATAACTAGCAGCAAAAATCTAATTACGCCACTGAAATCCACGTGAAAAACTCTATGGTACTCAGTTTTCACCTTTTTGACCAGTTCAGGGCCATGTAAGTGAAATATTAAAAATGGTTCCAGCAAAAGTTTCCCAATTATGACGGATGATGGCGCTGATCGTCAAAATTTTTGGACAGGGATTTTGCTTACCGACAATACGACGTGAGCTACGACCGGACCAGGACCAATCAGAATGATCAGTCTTTCTTGGACATTTGCCGCGGAAGTGTGTGTTAATTTCTATTGTGATAAGTGTGGTTGTGTTTGCAGTTTGATTATTCGGTTTTGATATTATGTTAAAATTAATTTTGAAGTATTGTATCACCTGTTTTTATGTAATAGTACTTTTTTTAGTTCTATGATCTGATATGTTGATTTGTTAATGTTTGTTTAACAATGTTATACCAAAGAGGTTATACTTAATATACTTATCAATTTGCATAGCCTAACTTTTTTATCAATAAACTTTGTAGATTTTCAGATTATTTAATTCCTTTTGTTTCCGTTTGTAATTTTATTTTTAAGACATATTATGTGATTGTTTCATATTATATGTTTTAAAAATAAAATTGCAAATAGGGAATAAAAATAATTAAAATAAAAAAGTGTATTTTACAATTCCCCCCGGCCCCACACCCCTTTGGCTAACCTATAATGTCAGCTATGTCGAGAGATGGCGTTACGAAAATGGAACCGATTTATTACAAGGAACTTGGGCTTCTTTTTCGTTAGTATATTCTGTGGACTAGTTGTAATATAACTGAGATACGAATGGGGTCGCAAAATGCAAAAAACATTTTCAATTTTACCCACTTTTACTTTTTTTACCCTGTATTTCAGGAACGAAAAAACTAGGACAAATCTGTGTAAATCTGTAAGAAAGTAGCACTGTGAAAACTGCATTTTGGTAGCTCTACTCACAAACGAGAATCCCTGCAAAACACGAAAATGGGACACCCTGTACATTATTAATATATTTAAAAATGCGCAGGATGTTTTGAATTAATAAGAAATTCCAACTTGTTGTTTTCACATTTAAGTTGTTATTAAGTGTTTCTAAAAATAGTTGTTTCTACAATGAATACAACAATTTCAACAACTTCAACAATATTATTAATTTTTCATTAGTTAAATACCTACTTGTACCTACTTTAAAAATTAATTTTGTATAGCATGGCCATTGTGAGGCTTGTAATAATTAAATACTGAGTTTCAAAGAAAAAAAGTATTTTTTTATAAGTGGCCATGGCGTTCTTTTGTATTTTAAACAACTCGTTTAAGTAACTATAAATAAAGTCTGTACAAGTCAGGAAATATTTCGATAGACGACATCCAAAAAATGATGGCAAACACAATTTGCATGCAAATTAAAATGACAGACAGACACGATTATTGCTGTCAAAGATCCTCTTGTTAAACAGACTGTATATCATTTATTTTTTATCTGTTTTGGAAAATTACCAACCATTTTATTTTTTGAACTAATTTTACATTTCTGTAACTTTTAATATACTTAGAATTTGACTAGTTTATTATACAGACTCACCTTAAATAAGTGCAAATATTTTCAGAGCTGATAGATCTCAATAAAAGAAACATATTTTCTCTTTACCGTTTTTCAAATAGGTTCAAAATAACTGAGTTATGTTACTTTGAAAATTTTGAAATACAACCAAAATTCAAGAAACCAAAAAATTATATTTAATTATTTTTAAAGATTACTTTGTAAGGTTGTTAGTATGTTTTTTCTTAGATCATAGTAGGTATATAATTCTATGCTGTACTGGGTCTCAAAAGTGGTTCACCCCTATAACTTATTTATTTTTTCAGATAAAAATCGAGATTTGGTGTGTTAGTATATGACATAAATTATGATTGATTGACGTATTCAATTGTTTTCGATCTCTTCTTGTTTCACCGGAAATGACTACAACTTTTGATTTTTAAATTTTACCCCCAGTATTTTGTTACTTTTATTTATAGAAAATGACACTGAATAGAATTACATATCTAATGTCAACTTTTGGCATTTTAGAATATGGCTATTTGCTTGCTATTTGGAACTGCAACCATGATTGCCAACAGGCGATTCATAACGACAAATTGACTAGAAATACCTACCAAGTGTGTGGTACCAAATTATTTGTAAAAAAAAATGCTTTTTCCAAATATGCTAATGATCCTCATTCCATATAGTCAAGCCCACTTTATCATAAAACAAGATATAAAAAAAAACATTATGATTATACCAAGGATTACACATTATTTTATGTGTTGAATATATTTTTATTTATTTTTTAAAAATGTTTGCATATCTAAATGAATTTTAGTATTGATTTTAGATAACACACAATGAAATGCCTTATTATATAATACATTGTAGCAAATCATAATGATCTATAGGTGGTATATGTACCTTTTCTCTGAATAATGCATTAATGTTGTTATTTTTAAACTGTAAAACCTTGGAATACCTAACTCCCATTGTGATAAAAATATATTTTAAATACATACTTACATTAGTCAACATTCCCCAATCTTCTGGCCAGTAAGATCTGTTTTTGTAGGGATCAGTGGGATAAGGCCTAACAGGTGTTCTATCTCCATGTCGAAATACCTAAAATATTACAAGTGCTGTTTATAAGTTATTTATCAAATTGAGACAATAATTAAATAGAAAATTAATAATAAATCTTATTGTATAACACTGTTTCTTACTACTACAACTGCTTTTAAAGCTGGTTCAGAACTGCATACAGCAAAGACAGAAATTAAAAGGAGTAACCAGAAATTCATTTTTACTAGTATTTAACAAAAATTCTTGGAGATAAGATTAGAAAATACAGCCATAAATTAATATAAATGTGTATACAAATTATAAAGTGAGTAACATTTCTAGAAACATATGTTACTATATACTAAAAACAACCCCCGGTTCCCAAACCACACTACATCACAAACGTAAATAAAAATTGATGAATTTTACGTTAAGGGCAGTTCTAAAGTACATTCTGACCATTGATTCTGATTCATTTCACAGTAGTTCATTTCAATTTGAAATTTTTCAGTATCGATGTCCTTTTTCAAATTTCAAACTAGACAAAGAAAGATGTATCCCGACTGTTGTGATCTTTGTTTATGATGAGAATGCAAGTAGTTCAAAAGTATCATAACGAACTGATATGAAGTTGGCAAACAAACCTTATTTCCTTGTTTTCTTGATTTTCAAAATTAAAAAGCAAAACGCTATTGGTGAAAATAATCTATAATGTCTGACGATTTTATCAGTTTAGTAAAATAAGCGATTATAAAACAATTAAACCTTATGATTAAACCCAGTAGAAGAGAGGATCATAACTTATAATATCGATGAGAATATTTGAAATAAACAAAACATAACCTCCAATTTGTAAGTCTGAACTTCAAATGTACAAACCTCATAATAAAATGTAAAAGTAAAAAATCCCATCATATGTTATCTTAAAACCAAATTAGAAACCATTTGTTACAAAAGAATTCTATGTGGATTATATTTCAATAAGTGGAAGCATAATTTTAATGTCATGGTGACATGTTGGCATTTTAGAATAAATATCACATAGCATGTTTAATAAATACATTCCCTCAAAAGATGTTAAGATCATGTTTTCGTTTAAAACGTATTCACCTAAAGTTGTTTTTTATTGCAATAATAATTGTTTCACTAATATTTATTTATTTGAAAATGAAAATTCCAAATGACATTGAGCTTGAAAATCGACAGAAATTTGTAAATACTGAAAATAATGTATTTGAACAAAAGTTAAGAGAATGGGAAGGAAAGATTATCCCAGGTCAGTATTTCGTACCAAATTTTTGTTCAGCTATTGACCTGCTGATGCGTTATGTATATGCAAATTATATTTTTTCTTTATAGGACTAGGTGATAATGGAGAGACAGCTTTTTTGGATGGACAGGATGCCCTCGATGGAGAAAAAGCTTTAAAGAAATTTGCTTTAAATACTGTTTTAAGTGATAGAATGCCTTTAGATAGAAAATTGAGGGACCCAAGAAATAACAAGTATGAAACATACAATATGATTGAAGAAAAAGTGATGGCTATGAAATGAAGATCACTGTCATTTTATATATAAACTTATATGGGGAATGTGGTGGAATGTCATCAATGTGCATTTCTAAGCCAACCGTTATGATGTCATTTTTAGTTAGGATGTCATTTTTTGTTCGATCATACAGTATATTTATTATTAACTAGCTGCTGAGTTAATATTTGAATTGTAGCAGATGAAGAAGTATTACTTTAATTCACTTAAGTTAATTTTAAGTATACAAATATAAACATATATTATCTCAAGCCTATAAGCAGTGATGTTTAGTTATGGCTCTGATTATGGTCAATAACTAACTGTATAGTCAGGAAAAAAATAAATTACAACCATTTTTTCGATTTTCATTTTTAATGAACAAATAAATAGTCCATTTTTGAACTATTATACTATATTTATACATTATATTGATTGCCAAAGTAGTATTTCGTTTAATACTTACATAATAGTTTTTTGCATAAAACTATAGACAAAATAATAAAATAGTGGTGAAATTTGTTAGACTTACTCATTTATTTACTACTAAAGTTATATTATGGCGCGTTCTCACGACTCGTGGACTTGGCAAGTATTTTTTACTGGCCTACAGGGTCTGGCGGGAGTGCGGCGTAGTTCCTATAATAAATAACTTAGAAATTCTGTATAGATGCCCGACGCACCGTATATACCCTGTATACCAATTACAAAATGTTTGTCAAGTACGCGAGTCGTGAGAATGCGCCTTTAAAACATGGTATGATTATGATTGATATGTTGTATAACTATAAAGGTGGATACACACCCTACTGCAAGCTTTTTTGTACAAGCATGCATAATTTACATTCTCCGCCACACTGTACATGCATGATTGAACAGCTTCAGTTTATGCCTCGAAAAAGAAGAAGTACGAAGAAAACGAAGAAGGAAGTCCGCGAAAAAGAAGAAGGAATCCTGAAGGCATTTATCTTTTTGATAACGGCATCCTTATCGGCTTGGCTGTCAATTAATCTATACTTATTAAGTAAAATTTTGTATGCTGCATCCCTCTTCACCTTATCATGATATTCTGGTGATTTAATCCAAACCAAACCAAACCAAAGGCACGGCTGATTTTCGTATGCGCGAATAAAATCTTCCAATAATCCTCGATTGCTCCTTTTCAGATCGCTAGACATGATGGCGACGCGACGTACAGGTCATTTACGATCATGGACTGAACTAATTGTTTGTACAAGCCGAATACATGTGGTACACACGTACCGTTTCGCTTGCGCAAGCATAGCTTGTGTAAAGGTGGCTACACACACTACTGCAAGCTTGACAAGCATGCATGAACAATCTTTTTGTACAAGCTTACTGTAGCGTTCGTAGGGAAAATTTGCGCAAGCATTTTAATTGTGCAAGCCGCTTGATGATTGATTGAATTTGAATCATGCAAGCTTAGACAAGCCATGCTTGCGCAAGCGAAACGGTACGTGTGTACCACATGTATTCAGCTTGTACAAACAATTAGTTCAGTCCGTGATCGTAAATGACCTGTACGTCGCGTCGCCATCATGTCTAGCGATCTGAAAAGGAGCAATCGAGGATTATTGGAAGATTTTATTCGCGCATACGAAAATCAGCCGTGTCTTTGGCGAATTAAATCACCAGAATATCATGATAGGGTGAAGAAGGATGCAGCATACAAAATTTTACTTAATAAGTATAGATTAATTGAAAGCCAAGCCGATAAAGATGCCGTTATTAAAAAGATAAATGCCTTCAAGATTCCTTCTTCTTTATCGCGGACTTCCTTCTTCTTTTTTTTTGGACTTCCTTCTTATTTTTCTTCGGACTTCCTTTTTCTTTTTTGCGGCATAAACTGAAGCTTGTTCAAGCATGCATGTACCGTGTGGCGACGAAGTTAAATTATGCATGCTTGTACAAAAAGATTGTTCATGCATGCTTGTCAAGCTTGCAGTAGTGTGTGTAGCCACCTTTAATAATTACTTTTATTTAAGAAAAAAAATAATATTATAGTAGATTCTTTGGCGATAATATTTGTTGTTTTTGTAGATGTAAAAGTTTAAATTATTCGCCAAAATTAAAAGCATCAATTGTTGTAATATTTTATAATGAACTTATGTCAGTCATACTGCGGACTGTATGGAGTGTTCTTTTACAAACCCCAAGTCATTTATTACAAGAAATTATTTTGGTAGATGACTGCAGTACTGATGGTAAGAACTATATAGGTTACATAATTTATTAATAGATCTGATAGAGGTATTATGATATTTATTGCTTATATATTTTAAAGTATGTAGGGTGAATATGCCAATGGTCGGACAGTTTAGAAAAAGCCGAGTTTAAATTTTTTATTAAATTTTCTTTTTTGGTGGCATGGAAATGAAATGTTATGAAATGGAGAGTGAGATTATTGGGCTTCATGTTAAATATAACAGTTTTTTTCGTAAACCTTCCAATGATTTTAATTATTTTTTTAAGTGGTAAAAGTTTTAGAACATATGAGGTATAAACACTAATAAACACATTTAAATGGTGCAAAAAATTATTGTTGCTGGTGCCGGACTTTATAAGGAGAGTTACAAAATAAAAGGAGCCTCTGTTAGAGCATCTGAACGAAGAGAATACATTAAGTCAGGATAATAGTGATGAAATATGTACAATTACCGAGTAAAAATATAACTCAACGGCAATTTATACAAAATAAATTATTTTACTTAAATCCCTTCAATTAAAAACCATTACGTACTTAATAAAACTCTAAAGTAAGTAAAAAATAAATAAAACTTTTTAAATCAAACTATTTATTTCATTTTTAAATCTCATATTTTAATTCATTGATATTACAACAGGAACCTTAGAAAACCTGTTATTCAATTCACATTTGCTTTTATTTCTTTTGTGTTACAATTTTAATTTAATCTTGCACTATGTACTTTATACTTTATACATCTCTTCTTCATGCTGTTTTTTAAGTAACTCTCTAGCTAAACCTTTTTAAAACACCTCCTTTGAATACCAGTTAGTTTATTAATATCAACTTTGTTTACACAATATTTTTCCTTTATTTTTTCCTGGTTTTTTTGAAGTTCCATCACTGAGTTCTTAAAAATAAAAGTAATATGACAAAATTGTTTTATATTTATTTTTTTTTGTTAAAAAAATTGTACATATGTGTTAATGTAACAATTATTATAGGTGCTCTTAATTTATTATTAATCAAGACAAAAGTATCTAAAATGATCTACATATATAAAATGCTAATGTTTATCTGTGTCGTCTCTACTGAAGTAACGACTTGCTCTAGAAAGTTGCTTTTTACTAAAAGATAGCTAATTGGCTCTTCTAAAAACTGTCGTCGCCGGATTTTTTGTTTTTCATTTATTTAAAAAAAAATAATAAGTATTTTTTTTTCTGATGTCGCTGTCGTGGCGGATGCGCCAGGCTTCAACTAGTACACCAATAAATGAGGAGATAAAACTGCAGTACTGGTCTTTGGGGTTATATACTTATTCTCAATCTTGCTTTTCTAAAGAAAAATAATATAAGTACATTTATCTATTTTATAAAATAAAAACTCACCTTAATTACTATCATCGATGCTATCCTACCTATTTCTTTATTATGAGAAGCCCTACAACAATACATATTTGTTATTACTAACAGCCTTATACTATTTTTTACCAGATTGTGGTTTTAGGATTTATCTATAAATCTCGATCTGCTTGCACTTCACCAGTTTCTTCCATATTTTCTATTATCAATTTATTGTACTAAAATGTTAATATAATAAATATAACAGTAATATCATAAAATTAAATTATAAATTAAATACTTACACATACTTTTTTTCTTGTTTTAATTTCTTATAAATCGCATTTCATCAACAGATCTATTTCACAACTACTGTTGAAACTGATTCCCTTTTTCCATAAAGGTAAAATTAATTAACGTATACCATAATAGAACTGGTCAGAGTTGAACACAAAATATATTTTAGTTGAATTTTATTGTTTTTATTTTCATTTTGAGGATCTTTTGACAACTGAATAATAACCTCACTTTTAAATCTAACGATTTGAAATTCCCAGTTTTTGTCTCTGTCTGTTGCATTGACTTTTCATATATAACCATCTCAATTTCAGATATCTTATATTGGCAACACTTTCTTTACGGAGTGTCTAACGTCCATGATAAGATCCTACCGACTCTACATTTAACAAGCCAAATATCTGAAATAAAACTCGACAATCTCCACACATTTAAGAATCAACTAATTGAAAATCAACCACACCTGGTATTTGACGAAATCAGTAAATACCCAAGCCTGTGGACACTACTTTTGTACCTGGTAATTATCATCCTTTGCGTCTACCCTGCGTCTACCCTGCGTCTACCTGATGTATAAGAAGTTCCCCAAATGTCGACGTGACGTTCAACCACCACCTTCAAGAAATATCCAGCTACCCCCTCAATCGGTATAGCTGTCTCTGAGAAGGGAGGAGTTATATTAGCTTTGTTCGGGTTTCTCTTATTACCGATTCTGAACCGTCCTAGAACTGTGATGCGTATGCGCAGAAAGAATCATTTGCGCATGCGCTGCAGAGCTCTAGGACGGTTCAGAATCGGTAATAACAAGAACCCGAACAAAGCTATTGTGTGTGTGTATACGTGCTGAATAGACAATAATAGACTAGCATTTTTCCAAGTACAGATTCTATTTTTACACTCTGTCGCACGAGCTCTTCAAGCTAGTTAGTTTTTAAAACAGATGTCAATTTTTTTTTGTTTTTATATAATTAAATAAAACTTAAATGTAACTTATTTCAATAATAAAAGTAGTTTTAAAGAAAAGGTGACTTTGACATTCAATTTCAGTTAATTCAGGTAACAACTTTTTTTCAATTTCTCTGGTTGAAACAAGTTCTGGTTCCATTCGTTTGCAAACGTCGCTACCTATTTGTCTTTAATACGGTCCTGTACTATTGACTGGAATCCTGACTGCATGTTTTACGCGATTTTCCCCCTTCTCGGACAGTTTGCACTGTATTTTTCTAACGCATCTTTATTGTATTGATGAAAACTCCCTTTTACTTTAGGCCATCTTTAGGCTTCATGCTTGAAAATAACCAAAATCTCATAAAAAATCAGTCTGAACTTATGTCTATAGCAATATGACGCCGAAAAGTGGCTACTGTCCGACCTCTCAAATATATTAAATTTAGCGTGTTGAGTTTTTGCTATCCGACCACTAAAGACTACCAAAAAATTATCTTTTATTATACCAGGTGCGTCTCAAAAGTGGCTCACCCCCTATAACTTTTTTATTTTTTCAGATAAAAAGGCGAGATTTGGTATGTTAGTATATGACATAAATTAGGATTGATTGACGTATTCAATTGTTTTCTGTCACTTTTGTTTCTCCGGAAATGACTACAACTTTTGATTTTTAAATGGCAGCCTCGGTATTTTTTTACTTTATTCCATACAAAATGACATTCTGAATAGAATGGCATATCATATGTCAACTTTTGACATTTCTGTTTAAAACAAAATTGAATTTTAAATTTCAATCTAGGGTGCCATGGGTGTGTTAAAAACACTAATTTTTAATCAAGGAGCCTTGGAAAAGTAGATTTGATCGTCTAATGTTATTCGTGTCTTGTCAGGGCTGGTTGATAGATGCCTAAATCGTATTTTTAATCATATCTCAATTTTTTCAAATGGAACGAGGGTGGCTCATTAGCATATTTGGAAAAAGCATTTTTTTACGAATAATTTGGTACCACACACTTGGTATTTCGAGTCAAATTGTCGTTATGAATCACATGTTGCAATTTCTAATAAACCATATTCGAAAATGTCAAAGTTGACATATGATGTCATTCTATTCAGAGTATCATTTTCTATCGAATAAAGCAACAAAAAACCGAGGGTACTATTTAAACATCAAAAGTTGTAGTCATTTCCGGCAAAACAGGAAGTGACAGAAAACAATTGAATACGTCGATCAATCCTAATTTATTTCATGTATTAACTCTCTCAATTTTTTATCTGAAAAAATAAACAAGTTATAGGGGTGAGCCACTTTTGAGACGCACCCGGTATTTCAAACCAAGACAGTAGATATTACATATCAATTATCAAGAAAAATACTAAAACAAAAGAGGATTTTTTTCAGTAGTCGGATACTCGTCCGTCTACTGGACTTAAACCAAAATTATATACAAGTTTATCGGACACCTAAATTTAACATTAAAATATTAAAAATTATCCTTTTTTGTTATTTGAAATAAAAATTTATAGAATATTCTACATACACGTAAAGTAATAAGTACTTCATAAATTAGATACAACATTTTTAACTTACCTTACAAATTATCTCACCTCCATCTTTAACAAGCAAAAATTAGGAAGCACAAACATGTGGCCACACCGACTCCCGAATTTTTAACAGTTTCAGGGTGACTGTTTAGGCAAAAAAAATGTTATAGAACAAAGCGGAAGAATTGGGTTGCAATACTAAGCCATATTTTTTTAACTTATTTCCCAATAAATACGTTTTGTCCGACCACTGGTGTATGTCCGACTACTGGCATATTCACCCTATTAATGTATTACTACAATAATAGTACCAAGATGCAAGTAAATTATTACAGTATTTCCTTTTAATTCTAGAAAGTTTAAAAGGACTGTTACAGTATTATTTGGATACAAGACTAAAGGAATACAATATTAAATTGATTAGATTGAAACATAGAATGGGTCTAATTAGGGCAAGGTTACAGGGAGCTCGAATAGCTCAGGGTGATGTTTTAATATTTTTAGGTAACTTTTTTCAATTTGTATAAATATATACAGCTTTCATGTAATAGGTTGATATTTAAGATGCACATTGTGAGGCTACCAAAGATTGGATCGAACCACTACTAGCAAGAATAGAAGAAGAAAAGACTGCAGTACTTGTTCCTATAATTGATGTTATAGAAGCAAGTAATTTAGCTTATTCTACTAATGGTAATTAATGAAAAAACGTGTTATTTTTTACTTTACTTATTGTAAATTAATATTAAAGGAGATTCAAGTTTTCAAGTAGGTGGTTTCTCATGGTCTGGCCATTTTACCTGGATAGATATTCAAGATGAAAATGATAAAGGAAAAGTAACACCTATAAAATCACCTACCATGGCCGGTGGTTTATTTGCAATCGATAGAAATTTTTTCTGGGACATTGGATCTTACGATGAACAGATGGATGGATGGGGCGGAGAAAATCTGGAGATGTCTTTTCGAATATGGCAATGCGGTGGACGCTTAGAAACTGTAAGTTGAGCAAGTTAACAGAGATTTATTACTTGTAAAGGAGGGTGGCACATTCAGTACATTGTTAATTGTTATACAGGGTGGCGCACCTTATTCGCCTCGGTTGATTATACGGAGTGGCAATGTGGGGAGGCAATATGCACAATTTAAAATTATTTTGAAATATACAGGATGTTTCAGAACTAAGATCCATACCAAAGTGATATTTTTTCTTATGGAACACCCGTTATTTTCTTTCATTTTTGGATTCTTGGGCCTAAAAAAAGGCATTTATTATAAGGGTTAAATATGTTTAAAATCTTTGATTTTTGAGATATTCAAAGAAATTTAAATATGCATGCTAAAATAGAATAGATTATCAACACCTTGCGCATTACTTTTTCGAATAAATTCTTGTGTTGAATTTAAAGGCAAAGAACAACGGCGTGCAGTCCATGGAAGCAGTGCTTCCCCTAAACAAATTGCAAAACATCATCTTCTAAAATGTAATCTAAATTTTGAAGTATGGAACAATTAATTTGGTTTATATTAAAAATGCTAAAACATTATCTTAATCAAGCGCATAGCAAATGCGGCCTTGACTCCGACAGAGCAACAGTAGAAAATCTTATAGAATCTAACCAGGCGCTAGCTTTTCTGCAGCGGTGTCTGCAGCCTATCATATGCATCGAGAGCCGGCCCCCGCTGCCATGAAGACACCAGCCCTCTTGGTTGTCATTTTATTGAAAAATTGCTCTTTATTCAAAATCTGAGATAGGTTAGGTTAGGTATAGGAAACTCTAATATAGTTTAAAAGAGCATTTAAATCTGCTTCGATTTATTTTAAGAAACACAGAGTATTGCATTTGAAATAACGAAGTTTTTATGTAAAATAAATATTTAAAATAGATCAGCAGTTTTTGATATCCCTGTATACATTAAACGAAACAATAAAATTGTTCAGTAAACTTTATTTCTCTGGCTTAAAATTCAGCACAAGAATTAATTCTGAAAAGTAATGTACACGGTGTTGACAATATTTTTTATCTGTGTAAACATATTTAACCCTTATAATCATAGACTTAAAATAAAATATAGACTGAGTATCTCATTCATAAATAGCTGGAACATGCGGTCAGACACTGTCTTGTTATTGTTGTGTTATTGTTTTAGGTTATAACGAGTGCGACACGAGCGATAGATAGGCTGTCTCTGTCGTAACGGTCGTTCCCTGACGACTCTGCCGAGAAACACAACACTGTCTTTCGTTTCTCAAGTACACCTGAACTCTCCGTATCATAGCCGGGTAATTTTTTTATTTTAATGAAGCTATAAGTAAATTAAAAATATATCGTATTTAAACGTTTTTATATTTTATTAAGATTTAGGACAGGTTTTTTACATAAAAGTTTAGAAAAAACGTCTTAGAGTCCGAAAAGGATAAACATAATAAAATACACGTTATAGAAGAAATTTTATAATCGAAATTACGTAATTTTTGAAATTAATAATAAATTATTAATTTTAGTCAAACATTTACAACCCCTAATATTAATCAAAACCGGATCTATTCCACAGATATAATAGAATCGGCGACAGGGAGAGAAAAAAAAATGATTGTTGTAATTTTTTTTCTAGTTAAGTGATGTCTTATTATGTAAATTAGAGAAAACATAAATCTGTTCCATTAAAGCAAGGAAGGTGATAGGAAGTGGATAAAATAAAAACTACATTTATTTAACTCGGTACTGTCTTTATTATACCGGGTGCGGCTCAAAAGTGGCTCATCCCCATAATTTTTTTATATTTTCAAATAAAAAAACAAGATTTAGTATGTTAGTATATGAAATAAATTAGGATTGATTGACGCATTCAATTGTTTTTGGTCACTTCCTGTGTCACCGGAAATGACTATAACTTTTAATTTTTAAACGGCACCCTCGGTATATTTCTACTTTATTCGATAGAAAATGACACTCTGAATAGAATGACATATCATATGTCAACTTTTGACATTTTCGCATATGGTTTAATTGTAATTGTAACACGCGGTTCATAACGACAATTTGACTCGAAATACCAAGTGTGTGGTATCAATATATTCATAAAAAAATGCATTTTCCAAATATGCTAATGAGTCACCCTTGTTCCATTTGAAAAAATTAACATATGTATGATTAAAAATACGATTTGTACATCTTTTAACCGGCATAGACAAGACACGAAACCTATTAGACGATCAAAACTATTTTTCCAAGGCTCCTTGATTAAAACTTAGTGGATTGAAAAAAACTGGATTGAAATTTAAAATAGGATATGTTTTTAAGCGACAGTGTCAAAAGTTGACATATGATATGTCATTCTATTCAGAGTGTCATTTTTTATCGAATAAAGTAGCAATATGGGTGCCTTTAAAAATCAAAAGATGTAATCATTTCGGTGAAACAGGAAGAGACCAAAAACAATTGAATACGTCCAATAAATCCTAATTTATGTCATATACCTACTAACATACAAATCTGTTTTTTTATCTGAAAAAATAAAAAAAGTTATAGGGTTGAGCCACTTTTGAGACGACCTGGTATATTAAAAAATATTGTTTCATAATGTAATATCATTTTAAAATTCTTGTATGTTATTTTAGATTCTGAAGATAATTTTAGAATAAACCGGAATATATTTTTAATAAAAACATTATTAATTATTAACAGGGTTATAATTATGATTTTGTTACAATGTAAGTAAAGTAAATAATGTAATGTAAAAAAGAAAAATTCAGATTTTACATTTTACTAAAATATTATCTAAATAAGCGCCTTTCTACAACAACGCCACTGACTGCCAATGTGTAAATTGAGAGTTGCCTACCGGTCAAAAGTCGTTTCAAGACTTAAATGGATTATTTAAGTCAAATTTCCTGCAAATTTGGCACTGGCGAACCATATTTTATAGTTTTTGAACAGAAAAAGTCAATAAAATAAACACTTAAGGACTACAAGCTAAGAAAATGCGTTAATACAGCCGGGGAGATAGCGGCAACAAAGCTTTACCGCACACGTGCGATACGTACTACAAGATAATAAATGAATGAATAGGCTCCCTCGCCTCTAATCGGTGTTGTCATATTGTAAAGAACTTATCCTTATTAAACAGTATCCGACTTATAATTTAGTAGTATAAGGACTATTTAATACATCTATGGAATATTAAAACCTACTTTATTAAACTGTAGTATTAATATCTCAATATATGTGTATAACAAGAAAAAAATATTGATAATATTAAGGACGTGACAACATAGGCTGGATGAGGAAGGCTCGGTCGACTGCACCCAGAAGTAAACATGTGTACAAAAAAGGTTGTTTGTCCGCGTTGAGATGTAAATAGTGTAGTCTATATTTTATTTTAAGTCTATGCTTATAATAAATACCTCATTTTGTGTCCGAGGATCTAAAAATGAAATAAAATACCGGATGTTTCATAAGAAAAAATATAACACTTTGGTTGCGATGGATCTTAATTCTGACATACCCTGTACAGTTCAAAATAATTTTAACTTATGTACATGGTCTTCCCACGTATACCCACATAATATAAAATATCGTCGGTTTACAAGCAAAACACACTAAGTCCAATTATTTTAATTTTAATTTATTTATATCATTTGATTAGATTTCTTCCAGAATATAGGAAAAATCTACTATACCTTCTAAGAATTATTAGTTTAATTTTTAAATTACTTTTATATTTTTTAAATCCATAATGGCGCTATATTAGTTCATTAAAAATATATTTATTCGTTTTTGGACTTGTGGTCGAGTGTGTTTTGCTTGTAAACCGACGATATTTTGTTTCTACATCTTTTCGTTTTCGTATAATTAATCGGGGCGAATGAGTTGGCTACCCTTTATAACATTGCTAATACTTTAGGTATAAAATCTAGCTAAACAAAAATAAAAATATTAATGTAGATTTTCATAAAAATATCCATTATCTACCAATCATTACAATTTTAGAACTTAATATTAAGAGTCCATTTCACTAGACCGGCAAAGTAGCAAAATAAGCGTTCGGCATTTAAAGTTTTAAGTAAAACTGGCTAGGCATTTTTACAAAAATGAAGAAGGAAATTAAAGATAAAGGATTATACTATATCCGCATTGTAGCACATTTTTAGATAACTTCTTTATTTTTAAGATTTTTACGGTCAAACATCAACAAAATATACCTTATATTTGAGCTAAATTTTCTCGAAAATAAAGAAGAGAATTTAAAATTCCGTTACAATACGGAAATAGATTGAAGTTTTGTGATTACAGTGATATATAATTTATATGGTTTTGTAACAAATTGCTCGCTATTTTATTGCAAATGCTGAAGCTCTGCAAACCTTAATCAAAGCACGTTTTTTTGAAATTTTGGGTGTAGCTTAACTAGACAGGATCGGGTTAAGCCTTAGGCAGATTTCTGAAATATAATATATATTTCCTTCGGCCGCACACTCGCTTTACCCGACCCGAACAGTACAGCGGAATAGCATATATTATACAGATTATAAACTTATCGGTGATTATAGGTGCCCGGTGGCGTAGAGGTACAGGCTCTCGTCTACCAATCTCAAGGTGTGGGTTCGATTCCCATACCCGGCATTTCATCAGCCGACTATTTTTATTAAAATAAAAATAGTTTGGATACCTAGGTCGACTCAGCCTTAAACGAGTACTTGGGTTTCACAATCCTGAGGTAATAATAGGCGGTTGAAGCGTAGTGCTAGCCACATTACCTTCTTTGTATACCGAACGGCTCTAGTATAGCAAGCTGTACCTTGCTACTCCCAAGGCGTTAAACGCTATATACGGGAGCTATTATTATTATAAGCTTATCGAAAGCATTGATGTTCGTGGTTCCAATTTTCGGAGTCGCCCACTACTTAGGTTACTAGTTTGCGCACATAGCACGCCCACTTATGGCCTCTAAAATTGTGCACAGCGCCTGACCGGCCCAGTTATTACGCTGTTTAAACGCGAGTTTATTTTTGCGCACAAAAAATTTTACTCGTTTGCTCATCGTCATAAAAACAATTTTCGTACCACGAATTAGGGACAAGATTTTTATCTGTATACATATAGTATACCAATCTGTGGTAAAATAGACTCTTAATGCAGTTTAATATGTCCTTTCATATATTTAATTTAAACCAAGCCAAAATAAAGTCAAGTAATTAGCACAAAAACTTAAGTTAAACAAAGAGTGTTTTTTAGAAATGTCATGTATCTATTTTAGGTGCCCTGTTCGAGAGTAGGTCATATATTTAGAGATTTCCACCCATACTCCTTTCCTGATAATAAAGACACCCATGGTATAAATACGGCACGTCTTGCCCACGTTTGGATGGATGATTATAAACGGTTGTTTTTTATGTATCAACCTGGTTTGGAAAATAATCCAATAGTTGGTGATTTAACGCACAGAAAACAACTTAAACAGAAGTTGAAATGCAAAAGCTTTAAATGGTAAATTGATTTTATAGCCAAGAGGAATTTTTTATATGATAATTTCTAGGTATCTGGATAATGTTTATCCGGAAAAATTTGTTCCCGACGAAAACGTTTTTGGGTATGGACAGGTAAAAACAGAATTTGACATGTGTTTGGATGATTTACAATTATCAGAAGATAAAGTAGGACCATTAGGTTTATACCAATGTCATCAATTTTTAGCCGTGTCGCAATATTTTTCGTTGAGTAACAAGGGAGAGCTTAGAAAGGTAATTACATTAAATTATCTATGAGAATGTAAATGAGGAGCAGACTTACTAAATGCTTTTTGTCCATATTTTAAGTTTTCAACCAAAGGTCGCATTGCAAACTACATGCAGATTTACAATATTATGTCAGAAACAATGTTATGAAGCATTTTATCCCATTCGAATTAAATGGTGAAAATACCTTAGACTTTCTATGTGCTGTATGTCCATTGGCGGTAGACAAACAAACAGAAGTATGTCCTTGCGCTGTGGACATACTGCTGTTTGTTTGTCATTGCCAAATGAAGAGCTTTTTTTCTACTACAACTTCTCTATTTTTTGAATAATACTACTTAAAATAATGAATAAACCTTGGTAGCAGAAAAATAAAGAGAAATTTCAGATCTAAAGGACAGTCAACAATTTTTTTCTTTTTTTTTCAGATATTATCAAAACTAGATTTTTCACATGTAGGTGTACTATTGTTATGATTTTTTATCCATCTATCAAGTATACTAGTTTTTCGGTAAGTTTAATGCAAAAAGCATAGCAGTTTTTCTTTTTTTATCAAAATTCGATCAAATGAACAAAATGTATCTGGAAAGTCTGGTCCTCAAATAGACTATCTATACTTTTTAATATTCTTTCCCGGATGTTTTAAATTTTTGTAGTGGTGGTTGAGTGGCAATTTTTTTAATGAAAACATCTCGGAAAACTATATGTTCGTAAATAAAACGGACTGCCACAGTATCTTATTAATTTTGAATTATTAGAATCAAATATATTTTTTTGCATCTATTAGTATACTGTTACGGATTCCGTGGGTCCACTAATTTAAACTCACGATAAAATACTTAACGAATTTATTTTCTCTCACTCTGTACACACAATTTATACTAATTTAACACAATTTATGCAACTACTGTTACTCTAACGTTTCTGGCACCTTCGCCAACTAATTCACAATTTAAAATGCGGTATTATCAAACTTCAAACTGTCCAAACTGCCGATAGCGTGCCTTTTATATAGCTGTGGATCTTCCGGAAAATTCTGTTCTAGAATTTTGTAGAATTTCTTTTGCTTTCTGGCGAATTCGCCAGGTTTCTCAATACACGTTGCGGTTTTAGTTCCTCGCTTCTCCGACAGACGGCGCCACATATACCTTAACAATACATCTTTGAATCAGAAGACTAAGGAAGGAACATATCAAAAATCTTAGGTCCACCGTGATGGGACTCAAATATGGCCGACTTAAATTCCGGTTTATCAGTGCCGTTCTAATTTTATTCAAACATTGTAAAACTATGATGTAGGGTAGACGTGGAGTAAACTCAATAATTTTATTTTTATTTTACGTTGTGAATAAATGTTGGTAGTTATTAAAATTGTTATAAAAACATATTATTATAATAAAAATATATAAGTTTTAATAATTATTTATCGAGGGGTGTCTCACTATTGGAATAACCTTAATTATTTCACTCGATTTTTGCCGAGATCTACCGCACGCTACACAACCAACTATTTTAGAGTCTTTTTCGATAAATCGCGATAGTGTCACTGTTAATTTAAGTTCTGCCATAATTTCCATCTAGATTTACTACCTTTATACAACTATCAGTAGTAGAACAAATAATAAATAACATAAAATAAGCTCCGTAAAGACTGACAAATCCACAAAATTTCCAACCAAATTCAAATGTGTCAAATGAATCGTCAAACAGAACTGTCAAGGATCCCCACCCTACAGTCCTTTTTCCGCCCACCATGCATGAATACATGGATAGCATTATGCTCCTTCCTTAGTCTTCTTATTCAAAGCAATACATAGTCTTTTTTAAGATGATTCGAATTTTTTCTTTGACTATTTTCGATATTTGCTCCCCCACCACAAATTTCTGCATATTATGTAAAGGGATAAAGGGAACTTTTTGAATTTGTCATCATGGTAGATTTTTTTTACTAAAAAAAATAACTTTTTATAAACTCAATAAAAAAATTCAATTTGTTACCTGTATCACATATAAACATTTTTGCTGGGATTTTTATTATTACGAGGGGGCATCAAAAAAAATAGTGTCAGGGTACTATTTTTAACGCGGCCCTTATTGTTTAATTCACCCCAAAAAAAAATATTTTTGATGTTTGCAGGAGAATTTTTGCGCCGAAGTTTTTAAAGAACAAGATGTCCAGTTGACGGAATGTCACGGTCACAAAAGGGAACAATACTGGATTTTATATAAAAATGGAACTATTTATCATCCAGCTAGTAAAAAATGTCTTAGCAGTGACGGAGTCGAAAATGGTAAAGGTGCTAAAGTTGAAAGATGTAATGGTAGTGTTTTTCAAAAATGGATATTTAACCATATAAATCAAACAGCTGTTATCGAATAAAACAGTTTTTTATGTGTTTTAGTACTTAAAAAATATTTTTTTTTATTTCTGTTTAGAAAAGACAGGAAGGTTCCTTTTTAAAATACTCTCAGCTAATATTTTTATACTTGATATTTAAGTTATTCATTGTATATAACATAAATTTTAAAAAATAGGTATTTTTTAATATCTGGTTTATAAAAATATCAATCAACCTCCCAAATCATATTTTTCTAAAATATAGTGGTGTCTGAATTAAATGACGATAGTATAAAAAAAATGGACCATAAAACTGAACAACATCGATTTCTTAGTTTAGTTTATAAACGTTTTATGATGAAAAGCAGTCCTAGGATGATGATACATACATAATTCTTATGGGAAGTTATATTAGAATTTGTTTAACTATCAACTATAAAAATTTTTCCGCGTGGTACTTATTTATATATTATTGAATAAAGTATGTTATAAATAATTAGTCATTAATCAGAACGTAAAGAGTTACTAACTTTTTCATTTTTAAATTATATTTCATTAAATGTTTCATGTTTTTCAAATTTAATAGTTATTAAGATGGTGTTAAAGTATATATTATATTAAAAAAAACGACTGATTATCATTGAAATTATAAAGTTACTTATCTCATATTTTTGGAATATAAAAATTATATAAAATAATATTTTCATTTAGAGTCCAACAGAATTTTAATTCTTTAGGCAGCTTTTTTAAACTGATATTTCTCTTTTGTGGGCAAATTATGCCAAGAGACATTTTTTTCTATTGCTCAATATAAGGTTAATTACACTTTATTATTGTATACTAATGTGATTTGTTTTCCAATTTTTTAATATTACTATATGAACGAATAAACGGCGTCGTGGTAAGCATAGAAATGAGCAATGATATTTTTTTGCAGATTGACCTTTATCGTCATTTATTGATTAGATCCATGTAATGGGTTAGCGTGTAAAGTTTTTCTTTTAAGTGTTTAAAGAAAATTTTTTGTGTTAATTTTTAATAAACGATATACCATCCTGCACACTTTATCTACCTGGTCTGTATTTTAATGCATGCGACAGAGATAAATAAATATAAATGGCCGGTTGCCAGAAAGAGAGACAAAATAAGAACCGGCATGCAGTGTTGCCGGTTTTTACGTGTGTAGAAAAAAATAAACAAATTTAAAAACTATCATGTTCACTACTGAAATGAAGATAATATATATAAGCTAAATATAATAAATAAAGTTCAAACCTTAGATGCAATATTTTTCGTAAACGCGTACTTGTGCGATTTGAAATTTTGATGCAAAATCCGGCAATACCGCATAGAATAAAATTATCAACCTAACCTTTTATCGCTTTTTAATACATTTAATTTTTCATTAACACGTTGACTGCCAAGGACGAGATAACTCGTTGTCGCTAATTTATTGTCAGGCGCCAGCCACGAGTTATCTCGTTTTTGGAGAATTGTTTTGCGGCGCCCAGTACGAGTAAATCCGTGGCATTTACGTTAAAGTGTAAGGGGATGGGCGTCCACAATACACCATTAAAACACATAGTGGCTTCAAAAACTATTTTTTATTTTGTTTTTAGATCCATGATACAAAATATAGGGATACAAAAAGTTAAAAAATATATTTACGTTCTAACAAAAGCAACAAATGGTAAAAACTGAGCTGCAAGAATAGGAAAACTATTGCGAAAGTTTACAGCAGTAGCAAAGTTATCAAAAATTAAAAAAAAAGCATCTTATACTCTTAAAAAAAAAGGATAGCTATTTTCAGTTTAGGTGATAGTCCTTGAAGCAGTTTTCAACACATAGAGCTGGATTTTCATCGCACGCAGGACAGAAATAGCGTGTTTCTCGTCGAACTTTTTTGAAGTACATACCCGGCAAGCCCCTTGTAGGTCGTTGCTTTTTCTCTGTTGGTGGTATAGCTTCCAAGTAGTGAAAATCTCCCCTCTGTACTCTGTTATATGTAGGCATTTTATCACCTAGGAGAGTAGAAACAAACATCTCTCTAAATTTCAGGGATTTTATCTTGCTTCCAGTCGATTTACGGAAAAGCAAGTATGTGTTATGTATATATAATTCGAGAATATGCAGTGCAATCTTCTTCGGCCATCTAATAGTTTTTCTTAACGCACTGTAGTAACTAAGCATTTGATCGGACTGATCGATACCTGACATTCCCGCATTGTAGTCCTTTATAATATTTGGCTTCATGGAAACTTTTCCGTTTTTGTTGCGTACTTGGACCATTTGTACCTTGTGCAAATTTGAAATCGTTAATACTTCCGTTTGTCTTTCCACTTGCAAACAACTACCGATTTGCGTCTTTGCCATATACACTCGCCTTTCTTTAGTTTTTTGAAACAACATACTTTGGATTTCCTTTTCGGTTGCTGCGTAAGGTGCCACAAATATATGTTTTTCTCGCTGTCATGTTGTTTGTTAGGCCAACTGAATTATAAAATTATCAGTATAGAGAATATAACCCTTATCTAAATATTTCTCCATCAAGTGAAGAACCACACTTGCAGCATGCCCCAGATCATTTTCGGTAGGTTCTGATTTTCCGCAGTATACTTTTATTTTAGAACCATGCCAGCAGATTCGCATAGTTCATACAATTTTATCCCGTACTTATGCTTCTTATTTTTAATATATTGTCTAAAAAACAGCCTGCCACGCCATAAGATCATTGATTCATCAATGCACACATTTTTATCTGGAACATAGTGATCTTCCATTATTTTATTGAAATGATCGAGGACTGGTCTAATTTTATATAATCGATCTTCTGTTGCTTCCGTGTTGTCAGCAAAATGCAAAAACGCAACAGTAACTGGAAACGATTTCTACTCATAACCTGACCCCAAAAGGGCATCTTGTACATGATATTTTGAGACCAATAATGCTCAATAGACGGAAAACTACATGGACCCATATGTAAAAGGAGACCGAAAAAAAGTCGCAATTCATTTGGGGTTGTGTCGACCCATCTGGTCAATCTGGAGGACCTCGTCAACGGATTTTCTGCGATCTTCTGTGTTGCGTATAAATTTGTTTGTTGTACTAAATAGCGTACAAATTCATCAGAAAAAAAATAAATTTACTAAATATTCCATGGTTATCTGCCCTTGAAACTTTAATCCGACATCATTTACCAAAAATTAAAATTTGGTGGCTCCTCCTCAAGGTCCACCCACTCTGCGTCTAAATTTGGTTCTTCGGGTAGCTCGTTCTCAATCTCGTGCCACTCGGCAACTACGGGTGGCTGAATCGAATCCTGATCACTTTCACTTGTAGAAATCTGCTCACTAGACGTTTCATAGTCGGGGTCGTCATCCGAATTGTCCTTTAGGAAATTGTCCCACTCAGCCTCATCCATTTGGGCAAATTCATCAAGCTCCCGGTCATTCAAACTGCGTTTTCGCGACATTTTTTAGCTCAAAGTAACACAAATAGCAACAAAAACATAGGTTTTTCAACAACTAGAAAACGTTAAGGATAATGATCTATCCCACTACACGGCTAGTTGCATACTAAACCGCCTGAATCGCCTGATTCTGCAAAATAGGTTATGCACGCCGTGTGTTTATCGTTTTCCCGCTTTACGAGTCATCTCGTGGTTGGACGCGTCAAGCAAGTTCGGCTTGAGACGGCCGACCACGAGATAATTCGTAAGTTGTTTTTTTTTGAAAAAAAAGCTACATGCGGGACAAAATTTTAAAATTAGTAGTTTTTAGCACATTTTAAATAATTATTGCGATTTTCACACCGTGGCGTCCGGGAAGGTTTTAATACAAAATACCATGGCAGTCAACGTGTTAAGCTGTCTACGTCAGTGTCTTATAGGTTAAAATCCAGACCACGCTTGTCCCGATCGGTATAGAGGTTTACTTGACAGGATTAATAATCAATTGTCACTTCAAAGACTACTTTGCCGCCGTTTTTTTAGTATCATTTGTATGGTATATTTACGTGTATTTTATACATTACTTGCTCAAAAGTTAATAAATAAAATAAAAGTAATTTTAAACTTCTGATAGTAAAAATAATCGATGGGTAATATGAATCACTTAAAAATGTATTAAAGTAACACACATATAATTTATTATTCTTAGTTATAATTTAATCATTTAGTAGTTTTTTTTTAAATCTTATACAGTCACCCCTACACACAGCGCTCTAAATGTTTCAAACCTTGCACGTTTCTTATAATGTTCAATTTTTTTAAACGATAGATTAACAAGAACTTGATAAAGTGTATCCAATTTCAGAAGAAACAACAAAAAATTCAGACTTCCGTGCATATTAAAAGAGACTATCGAAGACAATCACAATATAATTTTAGATATAAAAGGTAGTAAATATAATAAAAAAGTAATAATATAAAATGACAGATCTTCATTTTCAATCCAACTCTGACATCGTTTTTTATCGTATGGTATTTATTTCTATGTATCATTTAAAAAAGGAAGTTTAAGCTTTACTTTCAAAAAAAAATATTCTAAACTTCGCAGATTCTCTCATTTTCAGTAATGAAGTTAAATGTTTGGTTTGAGATTTAAAGATCTGTTAATATTTTTTTCTTCTTTTATCATATACACCTTTAGATTTAGAATAAAATAATACATCACATCACAGAGCATTCTTACTGCTAAGTATTTTTGAAATAGTGTACCTACCTCTGGATTTTTTTTTATTTAAATGATTAAGATATAGCACAGAATTGCTTAACCATGCAGAAGCGACACTGGCTCTTTTTTTTTTTTGATCAAACTTTAAATGATACGGTTTATTTCTCATATATTTAGGCTATAACTTTAATGATGCCGGTTATCCATTTTATTATTAGAATGTTAATATCCGACGTGATCCTGTAAAATAAAGTTTCAACCCTAGATGTGATCTGACAAATCAAGTCTACGGATTTGGCCTGTGACAGACCTGTCCGCCAAAGGCTTAGCCTGCCACAGACTTGGCCCTCCACACAAACACAAAATTCTTATCTAAGTCCGTAAGGCAAATATTCTGGTGTATGGGGGGCTATTTATTAATATACTTCAAGGGCATAAAATTTGGGATACATATATCAACGAACATGCATACTGTCGTTTCTGAATATCTAAGGTCCAAACTATTCTGTGTTCATATTGTAAGCGGTTTAATTTAGTATAGATAGTATGTCAAATACATAGTAGTTAATTTGTCCAAAAATATCACAATCAAAATATCTGCTAACTAAAAGCATAAGACATTATTATCATTAGCGGCTATAGTTTTAAACAGTTGGTAAGCTTGCATGGTAAGCTTGCTTTTTTGATGTTTAATTCGAAATTGGATATCATTTTGAAATAGTTAAAAAAATTATTACGTTAAGAAATACGTATATATAAAATGTATTTTATTCAAGAGATCGTTTTTATATTAGATTTAATTTAAACAAAGACACACTTATATTTTTTGTAATATACAAGTCTGATTAAATATATCACAATTTTATTTACATTAGGTACCTTATTTCTTAGAAAAATAGGCCACAGTGTTCATAATATGAGAGAATTTCAGCATTACTTCATAGAGGGATGGAGAGGTTTACAAAAGAAAAATATTTATCAATGTTTGTACTTTATTTACAATATTAATTGGTGTCTTTGCATTCAGCTTCCCATTCATCAACGGTAACTGCTACTGGACTCATAATTGCAGTAAAGTCGTCCAATCCACAATCAAAAGCGCATTCTTTCACTGTCAACGGACTAAAATCGGTACTGTTTTTATAATATACGTTCAAATATAGATCTGTTTCGTCTTGATTTCTGCTTCTAATTTCCCAAATTAGTGTAGAAGTAAATTCTGGGACAGCATCAGGATAAACACCCATTGAATTTGTAAAATCACCAAGAGTAGTGTCGTGGGCACTAAGCATTAAAAATTTCGGCGTATAACTAAGACCCTGGGTTGTAAATGGTGTCTGATCTCTAGTGGCATTTAGAAACTTACTAAAATAGTTGTAAAACGGACCTGTTCTGAGTCGGGCCAAATCTGTGGTGTAAGTGGGGACTTGGAACTTTTTAGCTGCGAGGGTTTTGATATCTTCCCAATAATAGTCAGTCCAACTGGGCAAACTCAAATTTTGTCCCCTATAAATAGTTATAGCTGAAAACAATCCGGACATTGTGCCTATATCGACTTCGTCTACAAAAAATCCTGTAACTTCGGATATATTTTTGTACAACTCTGCATATTGCCGATTCAGTTCTTGGAATTCTTCTGTTTGATACAGTTCTTTTTCAAGGCGTGCATGTTTGGCACACGGAATTTCGCTGGCTAAAATCGGATCTTGACTTTCGGGTACTGTATGAACGGGAATAACCTAAAAACATACAACCTACATGAATTTTCTGAATTGCAAATATTTTTAAAAACTTTAATTTTATTTTTGTGTTCCAAGACATAAATCCAATCTAGTTTATCTTTTTTTAATTTTTGAAGTGAAACTTCTTTACGCGCGCTGATAGTAAAGATTCAAGGCCATGACACGACAGGCAACAGAACAAGCGAGAGGAAAAGTGGAAAGAACATCCTACAGCTTAGGTAAAATCGTCCCATTTAAATGAAATTTGGTATGTCGATAGACTAGACCAAGGCCAACTTGACCGTGTACGACACTTGTGACAGTTAGTTTTGACGTCAGAAATTTCAAAAGTTGATGTCATCCGATCGCGACCAAATTTGATGCGTAGGCTATATGAGCGACGTTGCACACAGTCCATGCACAGTCCCACACTGCAAAGTTGGATACGACGCGACGTTTCGTTTACATCTTCATCAGGGTGGGACTAAGGATTTGATATTGAAGAAAAATGTGGGTGGATTCCGGCATAATTGGGGAGAGCTACAGGGTGACGCCCTTGACTTTTCGAATCTATGCCTCTAAATGGACGAAATCATCAGGACTTATCTCTTAATTATGGGTCGATTGGAACCAAATTCGGCACGTGGAATGGAGTCCTCAGACGGACAGACGAACATTTTAATTCAAATTTTGTAAAAGTTAATCAAATTACACAGGCCGACATGATTTTTGTAACACGAGTCAGTTGCAGAATTTCTTCATAAAAATATGCTTCTAATAACAGAAAAAATACTCCTGAAGCTCCTACACGTACCACTTTTCAGTTGCCTAATTACGCCTCTTTTTTGCAGGTAGTCAATTTTATAGATGTCAGGTATTAAGTCTAGGTAGATTCGTTTACATACAGGTAAATTTTATGATGGGATGATTGAAAGGGACGCATTTTGTGCACTATAATATATTGTGAAAAACATAAGAGAGTTCAGTTTTCAGTTGATTTTCGACGTGAGTTGTTCTATGCGTGTAGATAAATAGTACGAAAATGTCAAGTCAAACGCGCCGCAGTTGTAAAGTGTCTCCTGATCGATTTTGTTACATTTGTGGAGAATTTATGGTGCAATCACAAGCCAGACCATTTTCTGAAAATGTGAAGAAAGCCTACTTCAAGTATTTTGGAGTTTTGGTTGGAGATCAAGACAAGCAGTGGGCTCCTCATGTGTGCTGCGTTACTTGTAGCGTGTCGCTTGTGCAGTGGATGAAAGGGAAGAGGAAAAAAAATGCCATTTGCGGTTCCAATGGTATGGCGAGAACCAACTAACCATTTTGACGATTGCTATTTTTGCCTGACGAAAACTGAAGGTTTTTCCAAAAACAAAAAGCACAAGATCGAGTATCCCAATTTGCCGTCTGCCATACGACCTGTTCTTCATGGTGCAGATCTCCCAGTGCCGATCGCGCCCTTAGACTGGCAAGGTATTGTTTTGGAAGATAAGGAAGATATTGAATCAAACAGCTCTGGAGACCAGTGTACTGATCCTACCTTTACCCCAGAGGGCGGTTCTGACAAGCCACATTTGATTGTTCAAAGCGAGTTGAATGACTTAGTGCGTGACTTGGGGTTATCAAAGCAGCAGTCAGAACTTCTTGGATCCCGGCTTAAGGAATGGAATCTGTTAGCCAATGAAACAAAAATCACCACTTTTAGAAAAAGAAATGCTCCGTTCTCTGCATTCTACAGTATGGAGGATTCGTTGTGTGCATGTACTGATATCGATGGCTTAATGCAGGGACTTTCTATAGAACATTCTCCCTGTGAGTGGCGCTTATTCATAGATTCGTCGAAATATAGCCTAAAAGCTGTGTTATTGCATAACGGAAATTTAAAACCCTCTATACCAGTTGCCCATTCAGTGACAATGAAGGAAACTTATGAAAATATGCGCATGCTTTTAGATAGAATCAACTACAACAGGTATAAATGGCAGATATGTGGGGACTTGAAAGTTATAGGAATTTTAGTGGGACTTCAGGGAGGATTTACAAAATATTGCTGTTTTCTTTGTTTGTGGGACAGTCGTGCAGTAAATCATCATTATGTACAGAAAATTTGGCCAGAAAGAAGTGAATTTCAACCGGGTTCCCAAAATGTCAAGTATATCCCTCTTGTAGACCCCAAAGACGTCCTCCTGCCTCCTCTTCATATCAAACTTGGCCTCATGAAAAACTTCGTGAAAGCTATGAATAAAGAAGGTGATGGATTTAAATACCTAAGGCAAGTCTTTCCCCAGTTGAGTGATGCCAAATTGAAAGAGGGTATTTTTATTGGACCACAAATCAGGAAATTGTTGGACGACACAAATTTCACAGACACGCTTACCAGGCAGGAACTCAGAGCATGGACCTCATTTGTTAGTGTAGTGAGGGGATTTTGGGAAACAATAAGGATGCGAACTACGAACAATTGGTTAATGAGCTTTTAGATGCTTATAAATCGCTTGGTGCCCGAATGTCTTTAAAAATTCACTTTCTCCATTCTCATTTGTCATTTTTCCCTGAAAATATGGGTGCTGTCAGTGATGAGCAAGGTGAGAGATTCCATCAAGACATAAGGACAATGGAAATTCGTTATCAAGGACGATGGGATCCAGCCATGATGGGTGATTACTGTTGGTTTTGAAGAGAGAAGACGCGGTCCCTCATAAAAGGGAAAAGTAAAAGTTTTTGTTTATGTTTTGATCTCGTTTCGATTGTTTTTGTACTTTTTAGGTATAAGTAATGTTTGAGGAGTGTAAACTATAAAATATAATCGGTATATAGGCTTAAGAAGTTCTTAAATCATGTTTTGAATAGCTATCTTAATATATTGAATATTGTAATATTGAATGATGTTTTATTAATGTAACAAAAAAACCTTACGTGTTACGACTTTTTTTTTGCCACTTTCGTGATTAGATAGGTTCATTCTACCACAATATCCTATTGAGCTTTGTGTTACATCGAAAAAATTTTTTTTTGTCGGCCTGTGTTATTAATTTTTAATTTATTACTTTTTCAACATTTCAAAGCACACTTTTTCAAACGTGTCCTTCAAATCCTTCAATTTGATAGCCGTTAATAAGAAGTTTCACTTCAAATATGCGCACATAGTGCACACACAATTTTTTTTATTGTAGACATCGCTCTTTAAAACAATTTAAAAATGTATTTTTTTCAAATACCATTGGTAAATCAGTGCACTACTGGCGCGCCACTTGTACAGTTTAAGGATAAATTTGAGGTATCCACAATACCTCAAGTTAACAAACACAAACAAAATCACACTTACAAAATCAAACAAAGGATAGGGAAACAAAAGCATAAAGATCAATGGAAAGGGAAATCCTGCAGGTAAGGCGGGCAGATAGAAAAAGGAATGGAATGGATCAGAAATAAAACAAAAGTAAAGGATGTTAGAAGAGAAGTTGTAGTTGTTTTCGAAGTTAACGATATTTTTAGGTGTACATACTTCTTTTTTTAAATATTTCTAACCTGCCACTAATTTTGGTTCATAGGCTTATTTTAAATTAAATATTATCAAGGACTACTCGAGATTACTTCAAATTATTTCCATTTCATTATTTATAATCTACCGAAATATTTTAGTGTCTATGTCTATGGTAACTGCTAATTCTTACCTGCCAAAGTATGTTATCGTTCCAAATTGTATCTTCTGTTATAGGATATAATCCTGCTAAATTTGATTCTGCTGACATCAATGTTCTGTCGACATCCGTAGACCGAACGTAAATATCTTTTCTGTTGTACCGGGCAGGTAGAAAGTTATCATAGCGTTCCCTAAACCATTGACCTAATTCATAGTGGTGTTGTTTTCCTAACTGAGAAGATTATATTGAGGTATATTATTTAATATATTATTTAATCTGATATACCGTTTGATCCAAAAATGGCGCCAACTTACTTTAAGTCAACATAACCGATCGTTTTTTCTAAGGTACTCACGCTATTTTTGAAACATACGGTACATTTTATTAAGAAAAATATTTTTAATTCCAAATAATACTTGAAAACCGAAAAAACTTTTTACGATTTGTACTAAAAATTCATTCTGTTCAGTCTGTTCAAAAGGTGATGCGAAGACAAACAAAGAGAACCTCTAGAGGACAAACAAAGCATTTTTGTATAGAGGTAAATTATGTCCAATGAACTTCTTTTGATAACAAAAATACACAATAGCTCTATGTCCACGGAATATTGGGACACCCTGTACATACATATGAGAGATTTTCTGAATTATGAATGTGTATTTTAATCGGTCAATATTTTTTACTGCAATTTTACCTTTAAAAAATGTTTATATACTCGGAAGCAATAATTTAAAAGTTTATTTTAAAAGAATAAAACGCGAATAAAATCAATTTGAATATAATATATAATTTTGTACGGATTTTATTAAAGTTTGTTCATTTACATTTTTTGAACATTGTATAGCTTTTGTCAGGAAAATTTATGTTGTGATTATATGGATATCATCTATACATCGAGTATACTCTAATGAACTATAAATCAAATCCTCTCGAATAGTGTAAACAATACGTTACTTCAAATTTGTACATTACTTACATTATTTAATTGTCCATATCCATCTGGCCAGAGAGATGTGTCATTGTAATATACGTCGTTAGGCCAGGATGATAGCGGTGATCTGTCGCCATGCCTAAATACCTAGTTTTGTTCAATATATTATTATCATCAATCCTACAAAAAATACCTATTTTCTGATTAATATTTTCAGAAAAATAAAAACTTTTCCAGTCTTATACATTGTTAAATACTCTAAAATTTTTACCAGCATGCTTCTGGTACAAAGTATAGTTTGTCCAACTAGATCAAATATGACAGTGACAGTTGCTTGTGATTTTAATTGGACAGTAAATGTTTTTTTTTCTGTCAATTTTTGGACATATTTTCTTTGGCTGGACAGACTTTATATTTTATTTTCTATAACTTTTATCGATAGAAAATGGCCTAACTCTACGTAGATACACATTTATTTAAGGCCAGTATTACACTATCAAATTTCTTTGTCAAAGATTTTTTATAAAAGATATCTTTTTTAAAAAAAATGATGGTGTAATGGCCTTAATATACAATATTTTATAAAATCACACATATTACACTATCAAATTCTTTGATGTAATAAAATCTTTGATATAGACATTTGATAATGTGATACTGGCCTAAAAGACATTTTTTAGAACCAACTAATTTATGACCACCCAAGGTAAATTTTTAAAATATTTAATAATTTATATTTTTAAACAATATGATAAGTACATAGTTAATATCTTATCAGTGTATAATATTTCATTGATACCATAGATAAGATTCAGAAGTATTTATTTATTATATTTGATAATTGCTTGAATGATATTTGAGAGACAATTAAGCAGTGGCGTGCAGTGTTAATCAAAGCAAGTAGGCAAAATTTTACAAAATTATAAAATCGGAAAAGTAATAAGTAATTAAGTAATCAAAATAATTATTTTTTATATAAATTGGGGAAACTTTTTCAGATTTGAAATAACTTCACAAGACAGCAACTGACGGCGACACGCGACGCCGACAACATTAGTCCAACGCGTTACTTCCTTAGTCTATCTCTTTCTTACACATTGGCCATCCAGTCATTGCGATTTAGAGTACGTGGAAGATTCGTAAAAGCACAACTTTTACTGTTCCCATTTTTGTTTCCCTACCCAAACTGCCTTCGTGTAAATCATATGGGGCGTTTTCATGGTAAATTTTACACTACGTCGATCCGTTTTGTAGCTACGGGGGGAAACAAAATTCCCTGTTAGCCGGCAATTCATGAGCGTGCCATAAATATTTTAGATAACATTACTTACTTATACAAAAATTTCAAAAATACCTAATCAGTTTTATTTTGTGAATGTTTTTCCACGTAAATGAGACATAATCTTTATGAAAATCAAAAAATTAAGAAGAAAAACAATAAAATCCCATAACTATTTTGCCGATGACTGCACTGTTCTCCAAGCTCGGTCTGCTACAGTTTTAATCGATGTTTCTCGTAAAAAATTAGACGACGTGTCCCGACAATAAAAATTCAACAAATTTGCAAGTATGAGTGGGCGGAGTCTGTTTTGCAGTGACATACTCGACTCTCTGCCGCTTGTATACAGGTTGTTAATTTCTTTATTACTCGCGGCAAGAGCTTTATGGTTGAAATATGGCAACCTCGGCCCGCTCGTCGAGAGACGACGCGACGGGACGAGTCGGCAGCTTAGCTTAGTACTCATTTGGAATGTAGGCAGTGTTGCCATTCTGTTCCCCAATAAGTAACCGTCCAGTTAACAATCTATATAGGTAGCGATCTATAAAATATATTGCTGTTTATTTAAATGTCTTTTGTAGTAAAATGATCATACTCCAATACTGTGTCCGCATTCTTGAAATTTCTTTTATAGACACAGATCCAGTAGACCTACTTTAAGTGGGAATTGCGCGATAACGCAGTATTCTAAAATTATTTGAATATATCTCAGGTCATCTCTAGAATCAAAATAAGATAAAAAATGCCTAATGCGACTATTTGTTGGGTTAGCAATAAGTTATAATATAATGAGATAAAAAAATGATATTGCCTGGGATAGGTAAAGTCTTTTTACCTGCATTATATGCACGCCACTGCAATTTCAATAATATTATCTTTTATTTTAAAATTGTAAAAATTTATCTTCATTAAAAAATAATCAACTAACGGAACTAAGTTCTAAATGGTATAACCTTGTAGGTGTAAAAAACACCTGTTTAAAAGTTACACATAAATTATAATTTAATAGTATTGTAATTAAAATTGTTTTATAAATTTATATTCATCTGCCATCTTGATTGGTATTGGTACATTGAAAAAAGTGAATAACTTATGATCATAAAATCTTATAATCAAAGATACTTTAGATGTTGAGAGATTAACAACTCTTTCAAAAAGTAGGTACGTTAGAATGTATTTAACTGTAGAATTTTTATTTAAAGCCTTCGTGATCATAATTTTTTCTGTTATGTATAAGGTATACGTAAAAATAAGGTTCTTACCACTACAACTGCCTTCAATTGATCATTTTCGTCTCCCAAGGAACTGTTGAATTTTAAAAATAAAAACACCAATAAAATTTTCGTGCCGAACATGTTCGAAAAATTTAAAAAGCAACAGAATAACCGCTTTTAATTTGACGTGTCCTTATTCCGATAAGCCAGACACTAATGTAAAGCGCACCTTTTTATCATATTATGTTAATATATAGATAAAATTAGTAATATATTTTTCTATATCTAGACATCACTTGAGATATGACGATATATGATTTTTTTTACTAAAAGTTCGACGTTCAACAACAGTAAAACAACTTTATTATTATATATGTACAGTTTATTACAAAAAAACATAAAACATATTATCAGAGAAAAACAAATCAAGTTATTGTAAAGGTACATTTTTGTATATTTGGCTCTAATAATTGTAACAGTACACAATATGTTACTCTAAATAATTTTTATTCTATCATAAATACACTCAGATGCAAAAAAACGCAACGGAGAAATTTTTGGTTAAATTTAAAGTGTTATATTTTTGTTATTTTAGCCCTATTTTCATGATTTTGTAGCAAGCTGTATATTATATCAACTTTAATTTGTAAACTCAGCTTTTTATAAACTTTAGTATTTGGCATATTATACAGGATTAATTGAGGGATTGTTTTTTATCCTAACTTTAAAACACCCTGTGCAATAATTTCGCCTGTAAATTTTCCTAAAATATAATTTTGTAGTCAGAACCATGACTCCTGAGCATTTTGTTTTTTTGATTCATGTCAATACATGCTTTGGTTAATTTTTAAGAGCGAAATGTACTAATAACGATTAATGTGCATTTTTTTAATTATTATTTTTTTGATGTAATTTTTTAATATGATGAGAAGGTTTTGGTGACTATTGTCGTAACGTCATACTGCATTGGATACTCTATACTAAATTAAAAAAAAACGTTAAAGACTAACGATACAGTCCGGGTTTTAATAAACATTAATAACGATAGTAGAACTAACGATATTAAATAAAACATCTGTAATACTTCTGTAATAATAAAAATTGTAAAAAATACCCTAATATTTTGTATTGCTGCCCTTGGCTGCTATTACTGCCTGTATACGTCCGTTCATACTGTCATTGAGAATGCATACATCATATTGCGTTATGTTTTGCCATTCTTCTTTAAGGACCAAGCCAAGTTCATTTAAAGAAGCTGGTACTACTTCACGACCTTTTACCCCCCTGCCAAGCATTTGCCAAACGTCGAACATAATGGGCAGTTCAGAGTAGTATATAGTTCACAATAATCACCAAAGCCGCCTTGTCACATTGAAAAATAACTTCAAAAAAGAAATGATAATTGAAAAAATTGCAAATTGCTGGTGGCAAGCTCATTCTGCTCTTAAAAATTAACCAAGGCATGTATTGACATGATCCAATAACCAAAATGCTCAGGAGACATGGTTCTGACTGCAAAATTATATCTTAGGAAAATTTACACACGAAATTATTGCATAGGGTGTTTTAAAGTTAGGGTAAAAAATTGGCGCCGGGAGGCACGTATAGCCGCCCATATGGGAGTTTGGAGTTCTCCACACGGATTTTCTCAAAAACGGACTACGGAAACACGGAATATCTCAAAAACTGCGACTTCGACTGATTTTGATGCTTTTACAAATTTTGTTGCAAATATTATTCCTAATTTTAAATTGAAAACCGCGTTTCGCTAGCTACTGTAATTTTGGAGTTACGATTTTTAAAATTTTTAACCCCCTCCCATACCCCCTTAACAACCCCCCACACCCATCAAAAACTAATGGCCAGATTCTCGGGTGCCACAGTATTTTTGTGCCAAATTTGGTTAAAATCGGTTTAGCGGTTTTTGAGTTATCGTGTTACAGACGAACAGACACCATGAAAATATTTTGTATTTAGGGTCGTATTTATAACCCAAATAGCTCATTTTGAGTGAAATTAAAAACTTTTTTTTGCCGATCTTAATATCCTACCATTACCTGTTGGTATGGTCGGCTGAAAAACAACCTCTCGATTAACCCTGTATAATATCCCAAATACTAAAGTTTATAAAAAACTGAGTTTACGAATAAAAGATGATATAATTATATACAGCTTGCTAAAAAATTCATGAAAATAGTTTAGCCCTATTTTTATGAATAATTTTTAGCCGACCATACCAATAGGTATGGTAGGCTATTAAGATCGGCGGTTATATATAAAATAGATAAGAGATAAAAAAAGTTTTTTTAATTTCACTCAAAATGAGTTATTTGGGTCATAAATAATCTAAATACAAAATATTTTGATGGTGTCTGTCCACAGGTGTCTGTCTGTCTGTCTGTCCGTCTGCCGTCTGTAACACGATAACTCAAAAACTGTTGAACCGATTTTAACCAAATTTGGCACAAAAATACTGTGGCACCCGAGAATCTGGCCATTAGTTTTTGGTGGGGGTGGGGCGTTGGTAAGGAGATATGGGAGAGGGTTAAAAATTTAAAAGAATCGTAACTCCAAGTAGCTAGCGAAACGCGGTTTTCAAATTAAGATTAGGAATAATATTTGCAACAAAATTTGTAATAACATCAAAATCAGTCAAAGTCGCAGTTTTCGAGATATTAGCATATTTTAGTATGGGCGGCTATACGTGCCTCCCGGCGACAATTTTTTTTCATTAGTAACAAAATTATAACATTTTAAACTGGACCAAAAATTTCTCCGTTGCGTTTTTTGCATCTGAATGTATAAACCAGTTAAGCTTTTCTAAAAAATATTAGAAAAAGCATATACTAATCAGAAATATAAGCCTATTGTCCGATTCAGGAAAGACGACTGCATCATTCTGAATTTTTCTTTTAGAACCTAGAGCACTGAATCGACTCGACTAAGAGCTATTGGATGGTTCTGGTATCTACATAGAAATAAACGTAACCATCGGACCGGTCGGCATCCCGCGCACTGCATCGAACTGGTCCGATGATTGCATACATCGACCGCCATTACATGATGATTGCATTTATTTCTATATACATATATACCAAAATCTGCTGATAGCTCTTAGTCGAATCTATTCAGTACGTTCATAACATGTCTTTCTTAACGGGGATTTTGTGCTGCGAATAATATCTGTCGAGAAAAAATTGTGTCTGTCTTTGTTTGGTGCAGGGATTAGGCTCTTTCCAATCCAAAGACAATAAATTATAAAGTTGTCTCACATACTTGAAATTCGATTTCACATGTTTTTTCCCGAATAGAAATATTCAGACGCAATCGTCATATTTCATGAATCGGGAGTTTACATATACATGTATATAAAAAGGATGGAATATTACTCTATATAACCAAGAATTATTAATAAAATATCTTATGAGTGTATTGGTTTACAGTAGGCTTGACTGTTTTATAGGACCTCCTTTCTGTTAGGCATTTTCGAAGGGGAAATGTATTTTTATCTTTTTTTACTGCGCTATCAATCATAAACTGAAAATGAAATGAGTTTATGGAACTAGTATCAAAATTAAAATATCAATCGGCCCTATGTATAGGCACTAATAGTGCATTTACATTTTTTTAGTTCGTGAGTATTATTGACGTTGCCACCTAACTTTCATGTTCACATGTCAGAAGTACTAAGTGTAACATTAAAAAAATCTTAAAGATTAATGTCCCGTATAAATTCGATCCCTATCGCCATTAATTAGTACTGGGCATAATAGAGACAAAATACATTACCTAATACCGACATTATACTGGGCACATCTGTAAAAAAAATAATTAATATGACTTTATATGGACTAAGGCCGCAACAATCGTATTAGAGAACTCGCTCTCTAGCAATGTCCCTTATGTCAAGTGATAGATGAAATGGATCCATACAATTGCCAAGCGAATATCTAGGTAGGTACGCAGAGTTCCATGTAAATGATCACAAGTCGACAGGCTGTCTAATGAATGAGTTGTGGAAAATGATGGAAAAGAAAATATATACAGGGTGACCTATCGAAAACGTTCCGCAAGGCATAACGGCTAAGGTATACTTTTTTTCAAAAAATCCAAAAACACGTCAATTTTGTTTGTGAGGGGGACAACTTTTGCCCCAAAAATGATTGCAAAATCTTGAACCCTCTGAGCGGGGGTGTCATCCCCCAATTTTTTCAAATGGGAAGAGGGGTCAAGTGGCGCCGCAATGAAAAGAGCTTTCTATTCTCTATATTTCCCCGCCTCGTTTTTGAAAATCGGTCGAGTAATTGAGGTTTAAAAGTTTATTTAAACATTTATCAGAGTAAATGATAAGGTTAAATTCCTTCGACCAATTTGAGTTTTTTTCTTATTATTTCTAGATGTTTACGCATTTTTTCACTTGCCACAAGGTTGAACGATCAGGTGCGGTAATTGCTAGATAGCTGTTCTGTGACTTGTGCGTTGAAGTTCTTCTCAATATCGTTAAACTGACCCACAATAAAATTTCCAAAAATACCAGCCCACACGTTTAATTTTTGAGGGTTTTGTGTGTGCACCTCGTGAAAAACCCTGGGGTTGTCCTCAGCCCAATACGGACAGTTGTGCCGATTAACTACATCGTTCAAAAAGAAAGTACACTCATCCGAAAAACACATTAAATCGTCCCATTGCTGCCAAAAGTCACTAACTTACTTTTTGTTACTTCCGAGAAAAACGCGTCTAAAGATGAATTGCATTGCATAAAGAGGTTATAGTTAGTAACTATTCGGTATTAAATTAAAACATAAATAGCCAGAAATCGTAGCTAATGACTTTTTCAATCGATTCTCCGCTTCAAAATATAGTTAGTGATTGAATTTTCAGGTTGTTCGGAAAATGTTAGTTAGTGACTTTTGGCAGCAATAGGACGAAATAGGAAATTATTATCATTCGCCACTCGTTCGCTCATAGTTTCACAAAATTGCAAGCGACGATCAAAATTGTGTTCGTTGAGTTCTTGTACCAACTGAATTTTTTGTACGGGTGGAACTTGTGTTTAATATCCTTTGGACACTTGTACGATTCACGCCGGTAACATTGGCTAATTTTCTTGTACTCAGCGTACTATCCATGGCAACTTGGCCCAACACGAATACCTTCATAGCTTCATTTACTACAGGATTTTCGCTCTGCCTCTTTTTATTCATAACGGAACCAGTTGCGCGAAATTTTGCTACTAACTCGCGAACAA